GTTTGTCCACAGTTTCTCCGGGTCGTGTGGCCAGCATGACTAAGCCGCTTCTGGCGCAATGGAACACCGAACACCTCAAGTTACAAAAGCCTCAGGTTACAAACGCTTCAGGTTTACAAACTCTGCTAACCTGGAAGAGTTACCTCGAGTTGAGAACCAGGATGAGAACGGAAATCGTGTGCCGGCAGCACAGCATCAGCAAGAGGCCCCATTAGCGAAAGCACGCCTCTAGTTAAGAACAGTTTCAGGTTAAGAACGAACCTCCGGAACGAATTAAGTTCGTAACTAGAGGTACCACTGTCCTTCTCTTAGTTCAAAATGTGCTCTGCATTTGTAGACACTCCTGCTCCTTTGGCTGAGTGGGACTCTAGACCTCAAAGTCCTATCCTAACAGCACTACGGTTTACTATAGTAGTCACCACCTATCCACCTTTACGTAATCCTTGCCTAATGCAAATCTCACAGCAGTTCTTCTAAACCAAAATCAGGAGCAAAGTATGATATAGCAAAATGATAAATAAAGGGAGAAATGGCAGGGGATAGAAAACAGGGTCAACGTGAGGGAAGATAAATTCTGTGATGGTAGCAGCTGGGGGCTTCCACAATTTGGGCCAGTCTCAAAGAGTCGAAAATATTTTATGTGGGGAGAAGCAACAACTTTGCCACTGAGCTGACTCTTATATTCTGTTCTGTTTCAGCTTAGAAATCTTGTCCTTTTTAAAAATAGCATGTCCAAACCATGTTTAAACAGTCAGGTTACCAACTTTTACTGTAAAATAGTCAGGGATGCATTGTCCATTTTATATATTAGTTGCTGCTGTTGAAGAAACAAAGATGTGCTGCTAACAATGGTTGTTTTCGTTCCTCATGAGCAATTTAACCACTGCATTGCATATACTTTACTCAAAAGTTGTGCAAAGAGCTCAACTGTTAATCTGTAATATATTCCTCTTTAGTAGATCTGCATACTTTTGTTGGTTTGCTTTACCTTTTGTCTTCATAGACCTTGCTGGATTGGGTGCCTCTGCAGATGCATTTTATAAAATTAAGTTGTCTACATATACTTTAAAGTATGTGTTTAACTTAATGTGTAGCTGGCCCCAAGTCAAATGGGAAAGGATCATCAAACAAAAAGGAAGGAAATATACTTATTGACATCCAGTAATGGTGTACTAAGTGGTTGTGCTGAAGTAGCAAACATAGGACTATATAATAAAAGCAGTATGTTGTGACATTCGTTGCAATCTGCATTTTACTTGTCCATGAATAATACAGGTGATTGCAGTGTAAGTATTCCAGAATGTTGACATTCCTGTTGACAACTCAGTTGTATTTGTACAGTTAAAGAGATGTGGAAGGGGAATTTGAGGTCTCCGTAGTTTTCTCTTGTATGGTTAGCGTAAACATCACTGTGCAAGCCAATAATGGATTTTAGCCTGCTCAACTCAAATTGATTCAAGCTGTTTTGCAATACATTTTTTTAAGGTTTAAAGAAAAATACAACACAGGTGCTGTGAGGATAGGAACATCCTTAGCTTTTCCATCTTTCAAAATTATGAAAGACTCAACACTATCAAGTCCATAGGAATTTAAATTTGTTAGGATGTGGCTTTGGGGAGAGTGTAATCCAGCAAACAATTATGCAGCATTATGTTATTGCATACAAAAGCTGCCTTACCAATAAATCAGCCTTTTAAAAACCTGTAAACTAATTAGAAGTGTCTGGTCATAGGTACTATTTAGCAGTATAATTTGCCAGATTGCTTTGTGTCCAGCAGTCTTTGGCCTCCCTGACGAGACAATGTCCAACTTACATATTTATCCCCCACATTCCTAATTATTTCACAGCTTTTCTGACATCCATAGGGTGAAAACAGGCCACCCCCATACACAAATTCCCCACTCTTAAGATATGTTTACTGAAACAGCAACAACCGCAGTTCCATGGAGTTTTAAACAAAGGTTGCTTCCAGTTTGTGCACAAGTTTGTGAGACGTTAGATAGCATTGGCTATCTATTGAGCATTCACTCTGGTTTGTTATAGGGCAATTCAACAACTGTTGAAGAAGGGCAGTCTCCAGTCGCCACCTGCCATACCGCAGACAGCAGGGGCAGCTGAAGAAAGGACTTCCGAGGACAATCTCTGTGGATGGGTGCATTGTCAGGAGCAGGAGTCTAGCGTATGCCAGCAATAGAAAAACACGGTGTAAGTGCAGTTAACTTTTTATTCAAAGAAAACAGAACAGTGCAGGCCTAATGATCCCAGCAGGTCTTGCTCCCACCACTCACTAAGGCTCCTGCTCTTCCCAAGCCAGCACAAATTGCGTCTGTGCACAACCAATCTCAGCTCGGCTCTTTTCATTTCTCTGTGTTCTAGACTGGGGGTAGGGGAGCTGGCCACCACAGCAGAAGGGGGGGCGACTCCCTGGATTCTTGAGCCTGCCTCCATTCTGCCTCTTGGCCCACCTCCTCTCTGGCCTCTGCTTCTGCCTATGGATTGCTTTCCGCCATAGCCTCTTCCTGCTCACTAAACTTTATTACCTCTTCAGTGGCTGACACATTCTCCTCCCAGTCTGCTCCCTCTGATCACTCATCATCGTCCCACCACCAACCCTCTGGTTCTTAGCCTTCTTCCCTTGGTGGTTTCCTTGGGGGTTCCCCAGCTGCTGCCTCCCACCACTCAGCTGCATCCAGCCAGTCCATGACAGCAGTCCAACTGATATATGGGTCCTAAGTCATGTAAGGGTTTAAATTGAGCTTAATACCTGTCATAGTTTGCCCTGGCATACCATGCCCTGAAAAAGGTGCAAAAATAAACAAACACACAATAAACAAAAACACACAATCTTTTTTTTCCCAGTGCTGAAAAATCAACAAGCATTGTGAATTTTTTATGTTATAGAGCTTCTTTGATGAAATGAGTTATTGACATATAGTACATTGGCACTGGGACTGGGTTTGACCTTTCTAAATTCCAGATTTTAGCATGTTGAAACAACAGTGAGGTGCTATCATGGTCAGTTAGGTCAACATGTTGGGAGGCAGGTGGAGGGATGATAAATGTCCATCCTGGGCTATAACAAATCTTTGCCATGTCACTCTGTGGTCCTTTATACTGACCAAACTGGCTAAGAACCAGAAAGAGCTGGCAAGATATGCTAATTCAAAATAAGGAAAGGCTAGGTTGACACAAGGAGGCTCCGAATCAGCAGCCAGCACAAAGAATCAGGTTCATCCTCTTCTCCGAAACATGTTTTCTGTTCCTTATATATCCTTTAATTTAATCTTTTGTTAAACATGCCCAAATACTGTGCAACAGTAATAGTCTAATTGGTATTCACACTAACCCAAATTATAGGGCTGGCTGCAGCATGTGGCTTCTTTTTGCCAATGCCGATATTATTTATGTATTGTTTAAAAGGAAAGGGGGGAAAACAAGGAACTATTAATTTTTATACAATAGAGTGAACACTGGCAGTGTCACTTGGATTCCTGCTCGATTTTCTTGAGAACGCTTTCAAAATGTGCAAGCCAAATAAAAAAACTGTACAGCTGCCATAAGCTTTGGAGCCAATTGAAATTCTTTTTTTAAAACACACACACCAGATACTAGATACATGAATCTTTGTACTGATTAAAGAAATGATTGGCTAGAAGTATTTTGCATTATTTTTAAAGGTGCATTAGCTTCTTGATGAGAATGTTAAGTGATATATTATGATCTAAATTCCTGTCTTATTTGCATATAAATTTGACAGGCAGGATGTGTGCATCCATAGTCATACACAAGATCTACATCCCATTTTATTTTACTATTTCATTATATTTGCTAATAAACGATTATTATTTTTTCCTTTTTAAAGGGATGTGTTGTGAACTGCCAGGGAAATTCAGCATTTTAAGTTTATGTTGCAGTTTATTTAGGTCTGAGTTAACTCTATTGATACTACTCTGTATTACTTTCATATTTTGCAAATGAACCAATCTAATCTAATAAGCGAGAGCTGGCTTTCATGTGCCATCACAACTAGACACATTTCAAGTGACATACTAAAAAGTCAAATCTGCCTGTGGCTGCAAATGCACACAACCAGTTTATGGACATGTGTCTGTACAGGCAAACCTTTCCCCACTATCACATGCCCAGCTGGTTGTGCAAAAAGGCATTAAGTATGAGCTATTTCAGTGGAAATCACATTAAAATGTGAACCAGACTGAATCTGTCTCAGCCAGCATAGCCAATGATCGAGGATGATAAGAGTTGACCAACTGATGTGCTGATCATGTTCATTTCTTTGGCCCCTCCAACAGGATAACCAGTCTTACTCAGGCTTAAGTACTCTGAACTAGCTGAGGCACAGGATTGCTACTGGTGTATGGTCTAGTTATCTTCTCCAAATTATGTAAGAAAGGCATCCTGAGGAGGGGACCAAAGAAAGAAAATGCTGAAGAAGGTGGCATTAAAAAAACCACAACACTTTCTGGAGTGAATTAAGAGTTCCCACCTTTTCCCCAACAGCCCAGCCTTCCAGGTCATACCAGCTTACCAAGATTTTATAGGATGGAGTGCAATTGCTGGAACCCAAAAGGAAGAAGAAGGTTGGTGGAGGTGGCATTCAAAATTATGACCGACGAAAGTAAACCTCACTCCTCTTGGTCACGAGATATTTAAGGCTGAGATCAGTGACAAACATCATAAAAAAGCAGTCTTGGTGGTGGGTGATTCACTTCCTCATGACACCACCTTATCACTGAGCATCAAGGGAAGCCCAAACGTCTTTCAGAAGTAACACAAGACTTTTCCTCTTGGGGTGCTTTTCATTGCTTAAGGCTAAGAGTGGCTAACTGAACCAACTGTTGTAGTCTGCACTAGCCCAGAAGACAGACAAGAATTTAAGGGTGTTTGTTATGTTAACTTTGTAGCTTTTGTGCAGTAACATTCCCTCTTCCAAACACGTTTTAACTTTTACCTATTATGAATGTTAGGCAAACAAGACAGGCACAAAAGAAAAAAAACGCATGTTGGCTGAAGGAAATTGTCATATACATTCTGTTTGACTTAGTATGTAGTTTTATTTGTTAGTATCCAGTGCTATCATTTTGAGTATGTGGAAAGTTGCCAAGGTACAATTTTTAAATATTATTTTAAACATTCTCTCTTTCCGGAGTTGATAAATTTTCAAGTAAAATTCAATGGCATGCTTATTTTCAGTTTCCCTTTAATCACTCACCACCTATCCTTTCAAACACTTTGTTACCCAAATCACAGTTCTTTTGAAATACACTCCTAAAAGTTTACAGAGACAAAAACTGTATCTTTGAGGGGGGGTGGAAAGGTGAAATACCCATCAATTTGCCAGTTGCACCTTGGTTCTTCAAGGTGCCATGGAAAGAGTACTTATGTACAGGGGTCAGTGAAGAAGTGGGGTGAGAAAGTAGTTTGCCACTTGTTTGTTCATTTGAAGACAATTCCTACTTGGACTGGGTAATCTCAATCTGCACCTCCCTGCTGAAATGAACAAAGGCTATGTTGGTCCAGTGCTTATTGGATGAGGCTGTAATCCTCTCATTCTATTCTTTGTCTTAAGGACCTGATTGGACAAACTGCTCTGAAGACCACAGGTATATCCGGGAAGAGCACTGGCCCCTTCAGGTCCTCAATAACTTCTGAGAAATGCAGGCCTCTTAACACAGGAGTGTAAAAGTCTTTGTTCTTAGGTAAGGTTTCCAGAAAACCAAGTGTAGATTAAAGATGGAAAGGGTATGTCTTCCTGTTGTCATAATTGATTGGGAACAGAAGAATATAGAAAGTTAAATATCTCCCAGACTAGAAATATAGTCACTTGCCACTCAAAAACACAGATTGGAAATAGGGGGATGCGGAATGCTCTGTCACCAATGATGAAGGGTTTATAGAACTGGCTGATAATTTTCTACCCTTTCCAGAAGTGCTTCAGAATATCCAGGGGAATAATATCTGAAAGAGAAACAAGGGTGCCTTGATTAAAAACTCAACATGCTAAATACCAAACTACCATTGAACACAGAATTAAGCATACTTAAACCTGCTGAAAGAAATCAGTGGGATTAAGTGCATTTCACTCTGTGCTGGGTCATGGCCAAAGATGACACATGATACATACCAGCATGTTTATGAGGAATAAATCAAAGAGTTAGGATTTCATCTTAAGCAAGTATGCAACTATTAGGGCATCAGTCTTTAGTTAATTAGGTAATTGGTTGGCTCTATCAGCTAGAACATTTTAAAATAATAATTTGTGGGCCAATATATTAGGGGCACCCGTTTTTTGTTTTTTAAAAATCAAAACAACTACTTATAAAAACTGTAAATGGGAAGAACCATCTTAGGAGGGAATTCCTCCAAACATAGGGTGAGAGAGCTGGACTCCATGTGGTACGTCAACAAGGACTTTTCTCTGCCTTGAAGCTCCCACCATTCAGTTTCATTGGATGACTCTGGCTTTAAGTATTATGCAAGAGGGTGAGAAACATCTCTCTGTCCAGTTTCTCCACATCATACATCATGTCATATACAGTTCTGCTATCATGTTCCCCTCATTACCCACCTTTTTTCCAAAGTAAAAAAACTTTTTGCTGGCTGTGAAGGCCTCCCCCCCATAACAGTTCAAGCTTCAGCCCCCCCCAAATTAGGTCCACCGCTGCTCAAACCTTGTAACTTTATATTGCAGAATGGATTAGATGTCCGCCAGATATTAACAAGACAAGTCTATACATGTCTACTCAGAAGTAAGTCCCACTGAGTTCAAGAGAATTTGCAACACAATCCTAACAACTACTTATTCAATGGAAATTATCCTCAAGGAAGTGGGATTAGGATTGCAGCCTATGTTGTTCTTTTTACCTTCCACATCTTCTGTGCTGTGTATTATGGTCCTAGTCATTTGCAATTTGATGTTACTGCCTAGGAAATGGAACCATGTGTTTGGGCCTGTGCAGGGTTGATTACTTCTAAAGACATTTTACACTGGTCACTCTGTATCTGAATCCCTCCCTCCACTGGCCCAACTCTGCTTCTCCTGGTATAATATGTCAAGAAAAAGAATTACACATTCCCCTTCACCATTTGGAGAGGACAAATGTGAGTCTTCAGGATCATCACTAATAATAAATAATAAGAATACTATACAGTGGTACCTCGAGTTAAGTACTTAATTCGTTCCGGAGGTCCGTACTTAACCTGAAACTGTTCTTAACCTGAAGCACCACTTTAGCTAATAGGGCCTCCTGCTGCCGCCGCGCCACTGGAGCACGATTTCTGTTCTCATCTTGAAGCAAAGTTCTTAACCCGAGGTACTATTTCTGGGTTAGTGGAGTGTGTAACCTGAAGTGTATGTAACCCGAGGTACCACTGTACTGCCCTCCATCCAAGGATCACAGGACAGTTTACAATATATCTGAGGTAATTATGAGGCATACATAGTATTCACACCATTTTTAAAAAAAATATTTGTCGTTTGGTCTTTCTATCCAAAAGAGGCCTTTGACCCTTGCTGTGAATCTTGCTCTCCCCCATTCTCACTGAAACCTGAAATTGTACCCTCTGCTCTATTACAGCTTTGCTTAGCAATGACAAAGAAAAACACAAGCATCCAAAGGCTTCCCTCTGGAGAATTTGCTTAATGTTGTTTGGATCCCTTAAAGATTTTACTTGGAGGAATTTACTGCTGTCTAACGATTCCCTCTTGGGCATGCAATCAAAGTATAAAAATGTGTCCCAGCTTCCCTTAGATCCCAGCACAAAGGTCAGATTTAAAAGCAGTGTGTGGCTTTTAAGACAAAACAAAAATCAACAGACAGTAAGAAACTGCAAAGCAAGAAGCAGGGCAGAATCCTTAACTTCTCTAGGTGAAACTGCAAGGAAGTGGAAATATAAAATAAACAAGATGATATTTCAGTGGACCAACATCTGTTGGTGTGGGAGTATGCAAACCTTTGAGTAACAGAGAACACTAATACATTAACAATGTCTGAGTGCTATGTAAACAGAGAGTTTGCATAATTTCCCTCTTTCTGCTAGCAAATTGATGGTGTTCTCTCAATGAAACTACAATTCTATGCACACTTTCTTGGGAGTAAATCCCACTGAAACCAACAGGATTACTTCAGACTAAAAAGTCATGGGCTCAGACTATGTGCTTAACCTCCCCCTGCCAGTTAATATTGTACATCTTAAATCTGGAACACGAGATTAAAATAGAGTGTCACGTTGATCTAGCACAGGGGTCAGCAACCTTTTTCAGCCATGGGCTGGTCCACGGTCCCTCAGAGCATGTGGTGGGCCGGACTATATTTTTTGGGGGGGGGGGGAGTGAACAAATTCCTATGCCCCACAAATAACTCAGAGATGCATTTTAAATACCGGTAAAAGCACACATTCTACTCATGTAAAAACACGTTGATTCCCAGACCGTCCATGGGCCGGATTGAGAAGGCGATTGGGCCGCATCCGGCCCATGGGCCTTAGGTTTCCTACCCCTCATCTAGCACAAGGGTGGGGAAACCTATGACCCTCAAGGTATTGCTGGACTCCCATCATCCCCAGCCAGCTTGGCCAATGGTCAGGGATGTTCTGAGTTGCAGTTCAGCAACATCTGGAAGGCTGCACATACTTCTAGCACATCTGCCTACCAGGCCAGCATAATAAAATCTCTGACATCCACTTAATGATGTGCTCCAGTTTGGTGACAGAAGTTTAAGACACTGAACCATCGAAGGAATTTTCTTTTATGGGGAAATTCCAGATCATTTAGTTTTATTCAGTTTGCAGGTGAAACTTTCCCAGCTCCAACAGGACTGAGTTACAGAATGCCGTGGAAAATGCAGATGACCAGCAGAGGGAGTGCAATCGCATGGCATCTTAACAATCTGGAAGGAGCAATGGCCTGGCATAGGGATGGCCAACTTCTTCCCTCTTTGTTAGCACACAGCTGATTGGGAGCCCATTCAATTAGGCCTTCCTGGAGGAGGGACAATGGGAGCACGATGGGTCCGTTCCACTTTAGGAGCTTATGACTCAGACAGGCAGGAAATTTGGAGGCTAAGAAAGTCCAGAAACTAAGAGGAACGGGCTACAGCCATGTCCTTTACATCCTACTCCTCTCAATTTTCTTTTGTGGACAGGATAAAATCATATTGACAGCCAGACACTACATGCGATCCGTAGCCTAGCAAATCTAAAATCCTGGAGGGCTATTCCGTCTGCTCTGAGTGGATTTGCAACTGGAGTCCATTCCTCACATTTTCATTAATGTCAAAGCTACCCTCTCTCTGCTGGAATTAGCTATCCAGCCCTTTGTGGTGTGGTGGATGGACACTGTACAGAAAGTGGTGTTACTGCCTACTTTGTGAACATGCATCCTGAATATTGGGTCCAAGGATCTCAGGCCATCTAATAAGACTTCTAGGTATAACCAAGTACCTTTGTGTACTCTGGAGTTGATTCTGTTATAACTCTTTTTACCATCTGAGCAACCCATCCCAACGCAGACCACATCACAAATTGCTTTGGGAACTCCCCTCACTGTCATATGTGACATGGCACTTTTAGGTGCGTAGAATATTTGTACATTGTTATTGTTATTTTGGATCTTGGCTACAGTCCCTTTCAAAAAAACCAAGTAAGTAAATACACATAACAGAATACAAATGAATGATAAGAAGAAGAAAAAGTCCAGTTACTTTGTTATGCCCCTAACCCAATGTCAGACTGAAAGAGAAAGTCACATTGGAACTTAAATTGTATTTATAAATCTCTTGCATTTTGATATTGCTTTGTGGACAGCATAAATGAAACTGCAGCATCGTTTCCCACCCTTACCTGACTATTTCCTCCGGATAACAATTGTTAATTGTGTAGATATACTCTTGAAGAAGTGACCCAGCCTCTGCTTTTATCTCCTGAACCTTTTTAAGGCCTCCACTTGTTACAAAAAGGCGTCGTGCTTTGGAATCATGGGGCAGAACCTATTTAAAATGAAGCATATAATAGTAAGAAATTCAGCATTTCTTTGCAAAGGTTATTATCTCCTGTGAAGTTTTAATATTAAAAACAAAATTGAGGGACACCAAGAGCACGATCTAACAGAATGTTCTCCTCTGCAAGCCTCGCTGAGACAAAATGGAGGAGGGAAAGGGAACAATAGCAAAGGCACTTGTGCAGAAAAACATGCCACTGCACTGTGCCCAGAGAGTGAAGAAGAACTGCAGACTCACACAGCTCAGGGCACTTTCATTAACAAGCAGGAGGCTTAAAGCAGTTTTTGCTCAAATTGATTTGTACACGACTGCAAAACCTACAGTGGTCAGCATGCACATCTGTATTACAAATGCCTCTTCTGCTTCCTGTTCCACATTAGCAATCCTGATCCTATGTGCACATTAATAGCAGGAAGATGGTGCAAAGGCAACTTTAGCTTTGCAGATAAAAAATTCCCCAGTCGGATACAAAATATTCTGTTTTTTAAACTTGACATTCTCTTGACTAGCCTTCCCCAACCTAGTGCTGTCCAGATGTTTTCCAGTACTCTAAAACTCCTATCTCTGGCGGTTGACCATGTTGGCTGGTTCTGATGGGAGTCAGAGTCCAACAACATCTGGAAGCATCAGATTGGGGAAGGCTGCTCTGGACAGAAAGCCCACATCAGGATCTTACTGTCCTTAGCAGCAATACAACCCATCATTTCAGTAGAAGCTTCTCTAAACTCAAACTGTTTTGTTCTGCTTAGCATGCATTTGTACTAGCTTTTCCTCTTGATCTGATCCATGCCGTAACCCTCCTAATAAAATCTTAAAAGCACAAAGGTTATCCCTTATTTCACCTTCGCCTTTGTGATTATTTCTAATAGTTTAAGGTCCACTAAGTATTGACACCAATGTGTACCACTCAACAGAGAGACAGATTCAGCTGAGGCTACTAAGGGTAAGCTGCAGCATAGAATGGGATGTGGCAGGGAATGTATGCCAGAGTTCTTTTGGCCCTGCTCCCCCCAAAAAAGCATCCTTGCCACATAGCAGAGAGCAAGGGACTACATAGGGGTTGGGAGGGGGCAGCTCTCAAAATAAAGGGTGGCCCTTAAAACAAGAGTGATATGGTAAACTACGAAACAGGGCTCCACTGGACTCTGATAAGTGTGCTGTTTCCAGTGCAGAGATTGCCTCTATTTAAATTCTCAAGTAATTCCCTCTGCCCCCCCCCCCCGTTTTTTGTAAGACTCGGGGCTGATCTATACTTCCACTTGTGTGCTGTGGTGAGAAAGCACAGTTCCGAGTGGTTTTCCCCTTGCCCCACTCCTTTCCAAGGGAAAGCCCACTCTTTAGCAATAGATCAGAACACATGTCATTCCAGGGGAAACCTCAACTGCCGTTTGCTCCGATTGAGCGCTAAAGAGTGGTTTTCCCTGGGGAAAAGGACAAGAGGAAGTGTGGATAAGCGCTCAGAGCTCTATTTGGGTTAAGCAGTCTCAAGTGGAAATCTTGCCCTCATTTCTTTAAAAACGGCAAGAAGAACAAAGAAAAGTGGCTTGATTTATTTCTTTTACATTTTTAATAATAATAAAAATAGGAAGGGTAAAACATAGTAGACAATACGTTTTTGAACAATGGCCCTGAAAAATTACTGCATTATTAATATAAGCAGGCAGTTTATTGCAGTAAGATATATAGGGCTGAATTCTATTAGAGTTCCAAAAACTGATAAAGGGAGCCCCTTTTCTTATACATTTATTGGCTTGAGGTTTGCAGAGACAACTAACAAAATATATTGTGGCTGGATTTCTTGTTTCCTAACTTCAGTTTATTCTAGAAAAACATTGACTTTTCATTCCATCTGAGGCATAAAACCATGGAGTGTCATATTAAAAAAACCTGTTAAAGAAGAGGGGACTCAGGAGTTATGCACAGAGATGCAGTGGTCTGTGGATGCAGGGGGTCAAAGACCCCTAACTAGTTCTGCAGCAGGCTCCCTGTCTCTAGCATCCTATTGGCATGAAAGGGGAGCTTTTTAGCCCCTGAGAAATCTTCCTATTCTTTGTGCTGACTGAAGCCAATCAGAGTGAAAGGAGGGGAGTCAGAATACATCCCTAGTTATTATTTTACAAGATTACTGCACAATCTTAGAAGGGAGTAGGTGGAGCTGTGAGAGGCCATGGCTGAGACTATTATGAAGGGGCCCTGTAATTCTGAATTTGCCACTACACTACTGGTTGTGTGAGCATGGGCCTGAGAGGGCAGGTTCATGCAAGCACTGCCCCTTGCACCTGGCAGGCAGTATGAAGCCTATGGATTAGACAGGACAGCATATATAGCAAGGGTATTTTCCCTTCTTCCCTTGGCTTGATCCACAGAGCAAAGCCTTTTTCCTGCTACACTCTTGGCTGTTCCCAGCGAGTGATTTCAAGTGTCCTCAATAAAACACTCCAGAACTGGATTCAGGTACAGCTGCCTGCACAGATGCACAAGAACAAGACCAAAAGCAGCTGTAACAGGCATCCCAACACAGAAAGAAAGCAGAAGCACAGAATGGCCTTTATTTCCCAAGTGTTAAGACCAACCTATGCCACTGTTGTTGTTGTTGTTGTTTTCTGTGTGCAACAGCTGCCCTTGGCCCTGAGAGTGCGAATGTGCTCATCAAGCTACCCAGATGGGTTTTAGAAATGTTGGCCACGTATGGAGCCTTTAGGAAGTGTAAGCAAATGCTCATTTACCTTACTGAACTGGCCAACTATGTGCTTCAGGATGTTCGGAGGAGCATCATGCAATAAGGGTTCGAGTGCTGGCAGATGAGTGCACTTCTGCAGGATGTTCTTCAAAGCTTTCTTAGTCTATCAAAACACAAAACACTTTCAGTAAGGCATTGGCTGACAATCATCACCAAGAAGTTACCAAGTCTGCCTGGAAAAACCCAGCCTCTTGTTATTTCTATAATGAATAAACTTTTAAGTATCCTTTCTAGATCCAGGAATCTTGAAAATGTTTCTTGTGCATCAAGTCAGATTTATTTTGGAAGGCAGTAAGTTTATAAATAAGCAGATGCACACATTTTTTTTAAAAAGCCACAACCTAGTGAACTGTTCTGTGTTCTGTTATATCCCAATGAAATCAACAAGATTTAAACGTGTGTATCTTTCAACTTGTGTCAGATTGTGGGTGTTAAGTATTGCAGCCCCAATGGAAATGGAGGAGGAAGTCAAGGCACCAACTGAAATGAAAGGCCATGATCTGTAAAACATGTTGTGTAAAACAGGTACCGTTTAGTGTAACATACAGCCTACAGGTTTATTCAAATGGATCTTGACTCGGCATGGCATGAGGCAAAGATTTCATTGGCATTCGCCAGCTCCAATATTGTAAAAGTTGTCTGATGCAGATATGACCTAACTCTGAAGTTCTCAAAGTCTGGTCCATGTATTACTGGTAGTTTGCAAGCTCCATTCAGGTGATCCATGGAAAGGTTAGAGAACAAATGAAAAATACTTGTGCTTAACCCAGCACAATTTGTATTTTTCTGATGATCAAGGCTGTTTTAATCAGAGACGGATTTATTGGACAGACTAATAAGGCTCTGATCTAAGGCCTACAATTTTCATAATGCAGTGATGGTGCATTTCCTTGCTAGAAATCTGCAAATTAATGGGGCCAGTCTCAGCAGCCTGGCACCTGTGATTTTCATAATTTGGTGCTGCTTTTGACAATGGTTTCAGTGAAAAAAATGTATTAAGTGGTCTGCTGAGACCCCTAGCAATTTTCAAGTGGTCTGGAGTCAGCAAAAAGGTTGAGAGCAGCTGACCTAACATGTACTTTGTCTCCTGCGACTCCACACATTCAGTATGCATTTCTGTAGTCCAAAATGGATCTTCTGTATCCTGCAGGGATACCTGTCTCTCCCTTGTGACTACCTGAGGTTCTACTAACCTCAAATGTAATTAGATAATGACATGATATTCTATCCCTCTGTACTAACGTTGCAAGTAGATTAAAATGCTGCAGTGACTAACAGCTTGTATCCAGCTTCCCATTCTTGGAGTTTTAAAGGCAGACACAACTGAGCTACCCACGGCTGGGTGTTTAAGCCCTTTGTGTGGTTAACTAACATTCACCATTCAATTAAACCAGAACGCTGTATTTGAATTGAAAGACATGAATTCAAATACATCAAGGACATCAAGGAAACAGGCAGCCAATCCAAACCATAATTTTAAATGTCTGGAGGAGTACTGTAGGTCAGCAGTAATAGAGTACGCACACACAAATATAAGGTTCGGGGTTCAATAATAGAATCACAGAATTATAGAGTTGGAAGGGACTCTGAGGGTCATCTAGTCCAGTGTTTCCCAACCTTGGGACTCCAGCTGTTTTCGAACTACAATTCCCACCATCGCTGACCACTGGTCTTGCTAGCTGAGGATTATGGGAGTTGTAGTCCAAAAACAGCTGGAGGCCCAAGGTTGGGAAATGCTGATCTAGTCCAACGCCCTGCAATGCAGGAATCCTGTCCACAGCCGTCCCTGGATGGGTTCAAACCACCAACCTTCTGGTTAACAGCCAGATGCACTGACCCATTGCACAGATGCACACAGACCAATCCCTAGGTAGCCGCTACTGGTCAGAGTAGACAGTCCTGCACTAGATAGACTAATGGTCTTGCTCAATGTAAGGCAATTCCATATGTTCATATATCCTTGTGCCACAACAGTTCAAGCAGCATCATATGCAACATTGAGACCGAGTGACATCACTCTTCTCCCTTTTGCCTCTCCCAGCCTTGCTGCACCAATTTGTCAGAGAGGCTTTAACCAATGTTATCAGGATAGACCCACCTACCTAACCCCCCTCTCCCTGTATCCCCTCTCTGCCTAGTGCAGTAGACATCTGTATACGCTCAAATTCCCACAAATTATCAGGAATACCTCCTGTTTTCTAGTCCTTGTTGCTATTTTCAACTTAAAAGTTAGTATGAGTTTCTGGAGAAATCTCGAGTCATTCTACAGCTTTTGGCTCCTTCCCGAGGATCTGTGGAAACTTAGAATTTCTGAGAGGGATGGCTGGATGCATCTCTAGCGCCTATCAGATTCTACCAGTCTCCACCTATAAACGCAAACCAGCATTTCTGAAATCAAAAGTTGGCAGCACCAGTCAGCACTGAATGACCATCCAACTGTTATTCTAAGAATGCACATGATCACCAAGGGCCAAACTAGATAAATGTGAAACACACAGATATATATATTTTTTAAAAACTAAATAGCACTGCAGGCAACTCTGCCCCCAATCAGGGTCTGAACAGTGGCATGGAGGAATGAGATGTTAACTCTGCCCCTGCCCAAGTCCTGCAGTTCCAATTAAAATCCCTCCTTAAGCTGCTATTCGCTGCAAGAGGGGTGGGTCTATAGTTCATACTTGGCATGCAGAAGGTTACAGATTAAATAATGAATGTTTTCAGGGAAGCTTTTAATGTTTCATAGACTATTGTATTTTAATATTCTGTTGGAAGCCGCCCAGAGTGGCTGGGAAAACCCAGCCAGATGGGTGGGGTATAAATATAATAAGAATAAGAATAAGAATAATAAATTACTATTAAAGGGTCATGTAGAAGGTGGTGGGAAAGTTTTCTGTTTGATCCCTGAAGACTGCTGTTAGTCAGAATAAGCAATACTGGGCCAGAGGGAGAAAGGGTCTGACCAGGCATAAGGTGATTTCCGAAGCAGTCTTTGACACCAGTGGCAACTTCATCCTCCCAGGTGGAATAGTAGCTTCAGGGGAGGGTTTTATTCATCAGGATTGCAGTACTGGGACAGGGTGGGGGTGGGGGGTTGATGTCCTCTACCAATGTGCCATGGCCTCAATACTGACTGGCTTCTGAGATCTGTGAAATGCATCCACACCTTTCACAAACGGAAAGGCACTGTGCTGGGCACAGCCTGCCATTTCACATACTGCAGCTGCTGACACATATTTTGAACTTCTGGCATATTGTAATAGAGTTACGTTTTTCTTTAAGCAAACACATCCTTGGCTTATTTATAAGACAGGCTATGACAAAGTAAACGAACACAGCATGCGGTAGGTGGAGGAGAGCCTTTTCCAGTGATAAAATAGGGGTGCGGGGAGAGGACTCAGATCCTTCGTATGGGAGCTGACATGTTATAAACATATATCTTCTTCTTTTTTATGTTGCGAAACACTGGCAAGAATGTGTTGCTCCAGTGCTGATGCAGCAGTGCCAATAGCTGACACCAACCTGGTACAGAAAATAGGCATAGACAACACCCAGCATTGCAAATGATTTCCCTTGCAGTAAACAGACTAGCATCCAGTCCCATGTGCTTTTGCACAGTGCAGCGTAGCATCACAGCTTGTAAACGAGCTTGCATATGGATTAGGGTGCGGAGAACTTTCAAATTACCTAAGCATGTAAATGCATCAAGGCCTAGGTTAGTTCCCTCTACCCTGTGGATGGTATGATGCTTACTTGGTCACTAAGAAGCTCCTGAGAAAAATGGACGGCCCTGATCTGTACAGATTCCAGCAGTCAGCATGGGCAGGTGGCACTGACCCCTCCTCCTCCTCCACTGCCCCCTGCAGTGGTGAATGCTGCAAACAGTGATGGGCTGGGCACAGTGAGTCATGTAACCTCAAGACTTGATTATTGCAATGAACTCTATGTAGGATATCCTTGGGTCATAGTCTGGGAGCTCCAGCTAGTGAAAAATGCTGTGGATAGGCTGCTGGTGAAGAGAGACTACTAACACCTAATTCCAGAGTGTAAAAGCTAACACTAGCTACCCATATGTTACCAGGCCAAGTTCAAGGGTCCCATATTAATTTACAAGGGTCTTTAACAACTTGGGTCTCGGACGCCTTAAGGAACACCTGGTTCCTTATATCCCTGCCCAGGCACTGAGATAATCAGTGAAGGCTCTTGTTAGTGGCTCAGATGCATGGCTTGTGTCCACTAGAAAGCATGCATTCAGTATTATGGGCCTGATTCTGTGGAACTCCCTCCCAGCTGAGATCAGATGCTTGACACAGACCTTTCTATTCCAGCAGGCATTTTAAGGAAGATTCATCTTTTTCTAATTAATTTCAATTTATTCTAGTCACTGTAAGGGTTTTTTTTTCCATTTTATAAACACCACTTAGAAACTTCAGTGATTATGTAGTATATAAAAAGCTGAAATAAAATGAATATAAATAATCAGCTACCACAACTGACAGGCAGCTACCCAAAAAAGCCGCTAGAAGCTGTGCTCTGCACAGGTTTATCCCATGCCATAACCCCAGCTGTGGAAAAGGCCAAGAAAATCCAGGAAGCCCTTGTTGTAATAAGAGATTTCCCCTCATGTGGTTCTCCTATGCTTGGAATGAATTATGACTCCTGGTTTCAGAGAGGCATGATTTGTAGCTCCTTGGATGGCTGACCATCTGGGAAGGTATGTGTGCACAAACTACAGTAGCAAATGGAGCTTAAGAAAGGCAGAGCCAAGAAGAGAGAAACAGGAGAGAGGAGGAGAATAGATTGGTGGACTCTTGCTTGTGTGGCTCCGAATGTTTCCTGCGTGAGAGTGCAACTTACGCTCTTTGTTACTTTCCATGTGTCACTCCCCAGCCTGCACACTTCTAAGCAAGTTGATTTACACTTTACACTCCAGCTGCTATCCTCAAAAGGAAGCAAAAACCTAGAGAGGCCCCAAAACTTTCCATGACTCAGACAATATTATGTCATATCCTGTACAGCAGAAACAGTAAATACGAACGCTCTGATCTTAACTATATTTTTTTCTTGGAGGTAAGGCCCAGTTGATATGTTACTGAAACACTGGGGGGAGCCACTTCCATATAGCTTCACCCTGTGCTTCTCTGGCAATGTCCTGGCCTATGCGCAAAGCAGAACGGAGGTGGTGGAATCCTGATGGAACAGAATGGACTGTACCATTTCAGATTACAGGTGGGGGGAATGACATTTCTGAATGTTCTCTGAAATACCATTTGCTGAAGTTTAAAACAAATCACTTTCAAGCAGAAAGCAAGCACAGCTGAAGTTTTCTTCCTGGTAATCTAGTTTTCCATCTGCAAGGAGTTTTGTTTTCACATAGTCTGAAGTGGTAATCTACTCTAACACCTCAGGACTCTTACCACCTCATTCTAAGGCATATATAGTGCACACCAATGGAGGAACAAGATGGCTGAACCAAACAGTGTGCTTCCTTTACATGCAAACATCGCTTTTGGAGGTCTAGGAGATGCTCACGTCAAAAGAAACTACATTAAGTGGCCCATTGATACTAAAGTTGCATGGGAAGAAGCCATGGGGAAATGGCTCTTCCACTGCTGCACTAATGTAGAAACTGGCCATGTCCCACTGAGTGGGTGGGACTGCAACTCAGTAGAGGAGCACCTGACTCCAGCATCCCTAGTTAAAAGGATAAGGTAGCAGGTGATGCTTGCCTAAGACCCTAGGGAGAATCTGCCAATCACAACAGACAATACTGGGCCAGATGAGCAAATAAACTAGTTACTTGCTGTAACTACCGCAGGTTCCTATTTCATAGTGATACTTGCTTTCACATATGTAGCCTGAATCACAGCCTATGGGGATGGTATGGTTGAACCAGAAGGTCTCTAAATGAGAATATTGTACCTTTAAAACAGCCTGGCACATCCACCAATTGTAGTTTGATAAAATGATAAATTGTGCTAACGGATCTATGCAATTTAGCAGCAGCCATCTGGCTTACTACATATTCCCAGGCAGGGTGAGCAAATCGCCGCCCATTCCCAGAAATCTACTACTTATTACCTTAGCACCAAACTGGTTGCTAACCCATAATCGAATGTTATTTGCTTTCTAGCCCACCCTGTCTCAAAGCGTCAGGCAAATCTACTTACTTTGACTTGAAGATCTTCTGAACTTTCAGGTGACATATACAGGGAGAGCAGCACAGGCAAGACATTTGCTACTGCAACAGCACGGGCATGTTCCGGAGTGTGTCTCCCAATCTGTCCCAAAGACCAGGCAGCTGCTGCCTTAATATGATCTTCTGGCTCTTCTGACAAGCACACTGCCAGCTGTGGAACCCCCTGTGGTATTAATCAAAAGCACAAAACACTATGAATCCAGGCTGGGTTTGGAGAACCTTGCAAAGATTGCTGGGGAGGGAGGGGATGGAATAAAAAGCTTCTCCCTTTCTCTGTATTTATACATTCTCAACTCAAAGCACCTATGATGCCTCTGTCACTTGCACCGTCTGCAAGGACTACTCCTGAACGCTACATATTTAAGCATCAGAAGAATATTAAATCTGCAAATTTCTCTGAGATAAGGGCTGTTAGAGCTGACACGTTTATTGCTTTCCAAAAGGATTCAGAGAGCAGGTGCCACAGTTCAGGCAGAAAGCAGAAAGCAAAGCTGGCGCTTTTATCAGGCACTGAAATTCCAGGGTTTCAGGTTTCTTTCCCAGGTTTCCTGGAAAGCAACCAAGCACTGCCTCTGTGCTCATTTCAGTAAGACTTGCACGAGGCTGCCACACAAGCCTCACATAAATGAATGGATGGGGGACAGCCATAATGCTTGGAGGGAGCAGGGTTGTTTCTTCCACCACTCCAAGCAGGATATTTAGGTCCTTTTTACTTGCTTTTCTTCATTTGCTCCACACAATGCCGTTAAACACAACTAAAAATTATTATTAATGTGAGCGTTGACCCTTACAGATGTATATTGGAACTTTCATCAGTCAGGTTGGCTTTTAGTCCTGACAATTTCATAATTAGAACACTTTGGTGTGGTTTTTTTTAAAAAAGCATCAATACATTCTACTATCCACCAGGAACCATTTGATACATTTTTTTAAGGGAGAGGGAGACACAATAGCATCAATACCTATATTGCTCACAACGCAGTGAAATATTACATTTTCTTCCTCACTGTCAGGTTATCTAGCAACCCTCATCTCAGACACAAAAGCTTGCTTAGCAGTCTAGCCATTTCAAATAAAGCAATGCAGGAAAACCAAAATAGAAGAGCATTCACAAGGCTTCAAAACTGCAAGTCATTTCATGATGGAACAGAGCATAAATGTGTTTCACTTTTTTGCAGCGTTTAATTCCCCACCACCACCATACACACTTTAAATGTACCACAGCAGGAGCAAAGCAGGTACATGTTTGTTTTATGCATTCTTATTTTGAAGAAATTTAAAGTGAGACATCAAATATTCATTCTAAGAAGCCAATTGCCAATTTTGTTTCTACCATTTGGAAAAACAACTCGATTAGCATCTCATGAAAATGCAAGACTGTGCTAGCAAACTAATCCATAACCTTTCTTAAAACAAAACACAAAACCCAAGGCCCTGCTATTCCATTGCATTCCAGGCACAATGAGTAAGAGCATAACTCTGGTTATGGAACACAAATTAATACATTCAAGTGATTTTTTTGCTTTAGAAACACAAACACCCTACCTTTAAGTGGACATAGTTATCATATTTCAATGACATTTTTAACAATGAATTTCTTTCTGATTTCTTTAATGCTCCCCAAATAACTCTGAACACCATTATCTCTATGGTATTTTTAAAAAGAATTATGGAAGTTATTAAATAAACAAAGGCACAATCCAGCCAAATGTAGGCACTGATTTAACACGGGGACACACACACACACACACACACACACACACTCTCGAACACACATGCAGGGAGAGAGAGGGACAGGGAGAAAGAGAATTAAATATGTGCATAACTCTCCCTTTGAAATCAGGATTTTAAAATGTTTAACTCTGGCAGAATTGTGCTAAAAATATTCTTTCTAAATTGGGATTAAACAAACACCTTTTTTCTAAAGATTTTACACATAATCTTTTAAATACAACTTAGAATTTTTATGACTAGGTTATAAGTGGGATACAAAGTTCATTCTTTTGGGAGCAAGAGCCACTGAAACCAGCAAGGCTGGTATCTAATTGTGTTTAGATTACATAATGAAAGAAGAATTCCAGTTGAAGTGTGAAATGTTATTTTCATCCCTGTCCTACAGTTCATGAAAAACATCCAAGATGTTTGAATCAGTAGCTAGCCTATATTCAGTTGCTTTTCCCATTGGTTTACAGTGTCAAGAGGGTGCATGAGATTTATGTTTGTTTTGTCTGTTTGTTTGCATTGGGCTGCATCCTATGGCAGCTTTGCCTTAGCAGATAGGGCTTCCAATTGTACAATCCAGATTTTTGCCAACCTCACCTATGCAACATAATCCTCTGCAACATATCCCATACTGTTCTGGAGAGTCCCTGATTCTTCAGAAGCAGCTTCTCAGGTGGAACTTAAGTGGAAAGGGAGTGATAGGCAAAAATTGGGCGTTCCACCTTAACTGAAAGGAAGCATTTTCCAGCAAGGTAAAGCCACCATTGGATGCAAGCCATTCATATCCCACCTTTCCTTCAAGGGACTCCAAACAGTGCACATGGGCTACCTAAGAGATAGTGACCAGCCCAAAGACACCCAGTGAGCTTCATGGCTATCAGGGGATCAAACATTTATGAAAAACAAACTTGCATTCTTTGTCTTCAGCATCCTCACCAGTCTGATGAACACATTGTTGTGACACCTAGCCTGCACAGCCACACGCATATGCATCATCTTCTCAGAATCTCATTATGATTATAGCAGCCCGCAAGAACTAACCTTTGAAATGATCACTGCCATGGCCAGGTTCTCTGAATGAGCTGCCACATAGCCCAGCATCATGATACCAGGAAGTCTAACATTTCCTTTGCAGCAACCAACACAGTCAATGACAGCAGCAACTCCCCCTGCATTCACTATGAGTTGTGAAAGCTGAAAACAGATAAATCAGAAAGGATTTCAAGTAACTGTCAAACAGTGCAGTCAAGCAGTCTATGGCCAAGTGACTCCATCCCTATTGATGATGCACACCAAAAAATAATTTTTTTAAAAAATGAGCCATTCTATTCATATGGATATAAGTGAGCTGAAGAAGCCCCTAGTGCTTAATCAGCCACATTATATGCTAAACATATGCTTACAGATGTATTCAAATTAGCAAAGTATAATACAATGCAGCCTTCCACTGAAAGGATGGAGAAACCGTGGTCCTCCAAATGTTACTGAACTATAACTCCTATCATCCCTGACTATTGGCCATAGGGCTGAATTCACACTATCAGGAGTGGAACAGGTTTATCAACCCTGTTCTACTGGCCCTAGCAACCAGGGCAAACCCATTTTGCTCCACAGAAATCTTAGGGTGCAGCTGAAGACAAGGAGCTTACTAGTAAGCATTAGGATGTATTGATTTGTAAGTGAATACATAGCTAGATTTGATTATTCTCGTGGATTCAGAGGTTTTGGTCCACAAGGACTTTCCCATTTGCTTCAGTGGAAGAGCAGTGCTGCACACACAAAAGGGGTGTATATGTAAATACATTGTTACATATGCAACATATAAGGAGTTATGGTGTAGGGTGTAAACCACTGTCACCCACAGGTGTATAGATGCCCCTTCTGTTCAAGATATGTGCATAAGCGATGACCTATATGAATATTGGTTCATCTAGGTCCGTGCTGTCTACAGTGACTGGCAGCACTTCTCCAGGGTTTCGGACAGGAATCTTCCCCAGCCCTATCTGGACATGTCAGGAGTTGAACCTGGGATATTTTACATGCAAAGCATATGCTCTACCACTGAGCTATGGAAGTGCTTGGTATACTTCCTAATAAAGAGTAAGGCAAGCCTAAATTTATTTCAGTGGGTTTAAGCACATTCAAACATTTAGGACTATGCCTGTACACTAAATGCAGGCCTGTTCACATTCCTGGGTGTCTACATGTGCACTGTGCAGTGTAAAATGTAAACTTTGAAAGCTTCCAGCTCTTATCAAGCAAAGTTTGAAAATTATATTGTCTGTGGAATTAAAGCAGAGCAATGGAAAAAGCTTGTGCGGGAATAGGATCCCAAGGATCCTATTCTTTCTCCACTGACCTGCTCTTTAGTGTCATCTCTTTCTTGCCGCAACTTCTTTCCAAATTACTCTATTTTTTTTCAAAAAGACACGGCCAATTGGGGATGGGAAGGATTAAGTCAAATTTATCATGGACAAATGAATGAAAAGCTGAACATTCTGAGCACAGAATGAATGCTCTTGGTTCAGCATTCAGAGCCTTGCTTCCTTTTAAAGGGTGAACATTCCCAAGAACCCTGGTAAGTGAAGGTGTGTTGAGTCACCACTGGAGTCCTAAGAAAACTGGATGAAGATTATTTAAACCCAATACGAAACTCATTTAGCATTTTTAGTTTTTTATTTTCATCCCTACCTGAAAGGTTCAGTGTTAATCCTAAGAGAGAACTCACTCAATAGTAATCTTGACCTTTAAATTAGCCTAAATAGGATCTTGCCCCCACCCCAAATACTTCCAGAAAATATTCATTCTCTGGCTTTGGCATGGATCCAAGGGGAGGTAATTGGAAAGAGGCCATCAAGAATATGCTTTCATCACACAGACAGAATTGCCAGCTTTAATTTATCACATTGCCACCCTGCCTTTTCTCTAAGGAGCTCAACGTGACATCCGCAGAGTTTCTCAATTCTCTATTTACAACAATCCTACCAGGTAGGTTAGGCAGTGAGGCCAAAAGCCACATATGTGAATTTTACAGCCACCTGGGAGCTTGAACCCAGCTCTCCAAGCATGCATTCTCCCTGTAACTTAAAGTATAACAAAACTAGGAGAGGAAACTATAGACATAGCTGTCTGGAACTGTTTAATCCAAGACCTTATAGGTTAAAATCAGCACCCTGAAGTGTGCTTGCAAAGAAATTAAAAGCCATCAGAGCTTTTGGATCAGTGATGCAAAGTGTTCCCAGCAACTGTGTTCTCTTTTTTCAAAACAGTCCCTAAAAGCAGAACACTGTAGCAGTTAGTGAACATGTTTCACCACTGAGAAATGATATTCATCATGAGTGTAGCCAGGATTTATTTTAGAAGGGGCCTGGCTTTATGGGGGGTGGGGCAGAATTGAGTTATCTGCAACAGATTTGCTCAGTTAAGTATTTTTAATTACTTACTTGATTTGGTGGGGGTGGGGAGGCAGCTACACCCATGATATTCATGGAAGCATAGCCTGCACAAATTTACTTAAAAGTTCCACTGAAATCCATGGACTTGTACACACATCACTGTGCAGGACTGCATCCTTAATGGATTTTTAAAATATGCTTTTCCAAGAGTCTGCTTATGCCACTACTTCTCAAGACTATACCCTTATCACAGTGAAGAAACCTTCAAACAGACTTTTTTTAAAAAAAAAACTATCTCTACATATGTCTATCTAAAATGAGAGCCTTATCAGAGACCCTTTTCTGGGGTACCCTGCCCATCCAATGTTTTGTGGATGGCTACTGGGAAAAGGGCCTTTTCATTGGAGGTGCTCCAATTGCAGAATGCTGTCCCCGGGGAGGCTAATCTACAGAAGGTTGCCAGGTTTGTAGGGGTTCTGAGCAGTGGTCCCCGGAGTGGTCCCTACAGTACTGCTGCGGTTGGGCACCCACAAACTTACCCAATGGCAGCAGTGGTATAGAAAGCAGCAGAGTGTGTGAGCAACAGAGAAACATCAGGTGAGGAATCTGCAGCCACCACCAACTTAATTTCCCCAGAAATTTCCCCAGAATGTCTCTGGGCCCCACCTCAGAAGCTGGAGGGATTCTGGGGATATTAATATGGTGGCTACAGCTTCCTCACCTCATGGTTCTTTTGCAGAGTGCTGTGCTGATTTTTTTTATATAAGGAAGCTGATGTCTGCAGCAGTGGACCTGGCATTTGCCTCACCATGGTGGGAGCTGACACCAGACCTATTTGCCTGACACCTATACTGATGGCATTTGGGCACCAGGCAAAGACTTTTTAAATTTTATTTTACTTCAGTTTGGTCTGTTTTATATTGGCGGGGCTTATGGGTTTCATACTGCTCCTGTTGATTTTACTGTTTTAGTATATTTCAGAATATTTTAAAAGTTGTACATTTTAAATTTATTTTGCTGTATTTCTAAATTTTGTAACTGCCCTCAGAATTTTATGGCAGGGCGGGTTATAAATCCCTCAGATAAATAAATAAAGCCATTTTTTCCCCTATTTCGAGGCCTATTTACTCGAGCAACTCAGTTGAAGACAAATAAATCTGCTTTCCAATATTTAATAGCAGCCTCTCCGGCTAGCATTTAAAGTCATACAAGGGCTGTGCACTGCTTTAATTTTTAACAAGACCAGCCAGCCTGACAAATGAAAGCCAAACAGTGAAACTAATACTGTGCGTTGTTTCAATTTGGCTTCATCATTTGATGCCAATTTTGTTCACTGAATCGCTTTGGAAAACTAACTGTGTATATGTAGTACGCTGTCCTTTGAAGAACAAGTATCAACAGGACTCTCTCAAGATCAAATGCTACATCCGAGAAAAGGCCTGGTGAGAAATAAATCCTCGGCGCTGGAGCCCAATACCAGATTCATCTACAGAGGCTGCTCCAGCCTGCAACCCAGCAGCCCCTCCCCCTCCCAATCCTCTGCTTCAAATGCATGAGCTTTGAGAAGCAGAGCGAGGACTCCTGTGGAGATTGTGCTCCTGTGGCACAAAGGAAGTTTTGACTACAGCAAGGATTCCCCAAATCCTTCCTCCTCCCCCCACCCCCAGCAGCACCTCTCACATTATCCCTGTGGCATCTGGGGGGTTTTCCCTAAAGCCCCAGAGCACCTGAAATAATGAGAATATCGGATTTCGACGTGGGGTTTTGTGGCTTAAATTAATAAAAGCTCTCAATAATGAGACCCTAGTGTGCTCTAAATGTTCACGAACCACAAGAGGGGGGAGCTCCCCCTCACACACACACTCTCTTGTTTCTTTATAACCTTCTCAGCCTAGTTGATAATATTTGAACACTGGGGTTTTTTTTAAAGTCAAGTTTTGGAGCATTTGAGGTATTGAGGTTCCGCAACGTTTGCAGAAGAAATGTAAGGTGTAATGTCCCAAACCTGACATGTGGAGCCCCACATTTGTTTCAGAGGGAATCTGTGCAAGACAATTATGCAGTATGTGATTCACTGTATTTAGTTCAATGGAGGCAGATGGATCTCACTTAGTTATCAGTTTATTTTTACTTTAGTCCATAGTCCATGCACTGAGCTTAACTCAGATCTGCTCAAAAACATGATGTAGAATTCAGAGATTTTCACATCAGTATACAATAAGCATTTTAAAGGTAATGTAAGTATTAGTATCTTGCTAGGGCAGCACATTAAAAAATGGATTTCACACTGATTGGACATTCTGAAGGGGCCACGTCACAAAAACTGAGGGGCCACAATTCAACGCACCCTGAAACATGCTTAAATCTATTGATTTGAGAGATCTTAACAGCACTTATCTGTGTGTTGAATGGTAGTTTAAGAAAAAACGCACTTCATAATTGCCTTCCCTACACTCTCCTTTGTGTCCTAAACGTTAAGAATACTCTCCATAATGAAACCCACAAGCAAGGAAAGCCTATTTTGCCCATTTCCCTATTTGTATTCCAAACACATTCAATAACAGCAACAAACATTTCCTCTCTTTTTTTTTTCCACCAATGGAAATTCCACAGAGCTTTTCGCTTTGCCTAATGACAGAATAATACTGGGAATTTTTAACATTTATTTAAAGTATAGACACTAATAACATGACCTTGTATTTGCATTCTCAAGGTTTTACCTCAGGCGTATGCCTTGCTATCTCTCTAATTAGAGTTGCAGCATTTTTCTTGACATATTCATCCGAGTCCTTCAGGCATGTGAGTACAACAGGGAAAATTTCTGCTTCAACCACCATTTCTGCCAGATCCACAGAATGCTTTGCTATCTGGCTGAGAGCTGAGAGCACCTGACGCTGGTAAATAGGAAGGATTGTTTTATAAATGGCTTATTGGGCAAACACTTTACAGACGCAGACACACACACATATAGAACAATAAAAAAGAAAGAAAACTTCCTCTCATGCTGTGAAAGAATGAAACCACCCACAACTTTTACAAAGCTCACAGTCCTCCTAGTGTAACAGCAACAAACAAACAAAACGTAATTATCAAGAAAAACACATTTACTTAAATAAAGTCTCATTAAGTTCAGAGGGGCTAGTTTTGAGTAAATAAAATATGGAACCAGAGTGGAAGAAAATGCACTCATGCTACAAGAAATTCAAAACCGAAGTCATGCAGTTTATTGGTCTCATTTAAAAGCATTACACATGAAGTAACTGCTTTTTTCTTTTAAGTTACAAAGTACAGACCCCACAATTTTTCAGCAGCTGTTATAATTTAAATTTTAATATCTGAAATAACAATATTTTTTTAAAAAAAACTATTTTAATTAAACATGCATGTGGAAAATGCCATTTGCTGTTAATTGGCATAAAATACCATATTATTAAAAAGACAAAGGAAGTTGAAGTCCTTTAAATAACTATCCATTTATTGTGTCATGATTTTCTGTAGAAAATAGCTATGAAATTAAACAGTAAAAAAGAAAACATATATATTATGAGAAACCTACAGTCCTGTACCAAGTTTCTCAGCTGATTTAGTAGGAACCAAGTACCACTAAAAGAAATGAAACTATGACCAAATGCATGTGCTTAAGAATGCAGAATTACCATTTTAAGAACACCATTACAGCACTTCACACTATATATTAGACCTATTGAATCAATGTTAGGAAGGTTTCAAATGTAAAGAAAATACCACTATACCTTGGACTAGCCCTTGAGATAATTGTCACAGATATCTGAATATGTACTGATGATTAGAAACCAAATAATCTCAACATTTAAAGGTGAGTGGGTTCACTCCTTTCCCACCAGTTATTTCCAGTATATATACAGAAGTCACATTAAAAGCAGCTGGATCTCTACTTTGTTACCAGTAGTCAAGTTAGCAATGTGTCTTTTGGGATAAGAGTCCTTTAGAATCCAACATTTAGATTAATACATTTTTTTTCTCAACACGCCATCACAGCTGAAAATGGGTTCCATGTCATGAGAAGGGGAAAATAGTTTAAAAAGTACCTTTAGTTTGGCATCGGGGTTGAGGATCATCTGAGCCAAGTGAGCAATTGCCCCCGCGTCCACAACCGTCTGTGCTAACTCCGGAGAATGCTTTGAAACATCACTGAGCGCGGAAGCAGCAATCCTTCTCAAAGCAATCTCTGGCTCCTGGATACAGAGGACTAAGAGAGGAATGGCTCCAGCATCCACCACAGCCTGTGACAGTTCTGTTGGTCCAATGAAAGTAATTAAGCGAGTATGGGTGACTGACCCTTGTGCAAGCCATTTTTCACCCTGACAGATACAGCAGGAGGGGGAGAGGGGAGGGTGTACTTCAGTGCCTTGACATCTGCATTTCAAATCAGCCCTCCTAGTTTCATAAACCATGTGGACCAATCCTTGGCTGAAAAGAATACAGGTCAATAGATGGACCTCCATTTACATGTACACATTTGAGGTAGATTAGGCTGAAATGGTTTCGTTACCGTGTGTGTGTGTGTGTGTGTGTGTGGTGTGTGTGTGTTTAAAAAGAGTAAGCAGATGTCAGCTGTTTAAGCCCTGACTGTTGGGGCACTGATCAATAGGCAAGCAGTTTCTGCACAGCTAACAATAAAGAAAAGCCAAAATGCCAAAACGTGTCCCCCTCTCCCACAAAGCTAATTTAGATGGCATTAATCCCCATTCGTAGACGAAGCAAAAAAATAACATGCCTAAATAAATGCACTCAATTTTTAAAAAGAAGAAGAAATCTATATATAATAGTAGACTCCACTGCAAAATCTGGCTTGCTAATTTTGGACATCAAAATGCTCTTTCTTTCTTTCAACAGCGCATTCCTCATCAGTAAACTACCAATAACCGTCTTTCCCTACATTAAATCACTGCAACAGACAGTTGCATTAAGCTGCCATGGCCAGTTGCTTGCATCTTAACCCAAGAACCCACAATTAACTGATATAGTCAGCGTACTGTTATAGCAGAAATTCATTACCCTCCCTCCACATATTTGTCATTAGCTTCAGTACTGAAGTAGAAAATTGCGGGATAGCAAATGCATGGAATAGAACAAGGGCTATTTTTGGAGATGATGAAAAATGAACACAAACCCCATTAATTTCAAATGGGCTATTATAGGTTCTTAAATAAGGTTTTGTTAGGTCCTCTCCTTGTTATGCACATACTCTCTTATCTTTAACATTTAACCTGCCTTACACTGCCATGGCAACAAATAGCTGTTGTAATTCAAGGATTCAACTTTGATTTTGCATTTACAGTCCATCAATCAAAGCCTTCAGTGGAACTTTCCCAATCACCATGTTATAACCACAAACTTGGATTCTCCACTGATGTGCTTGCTCATGGCATAATTTATATATTTTATTATTATATAGTTACTAAAGAGCACCATTCAGCCAAAATGCTCCAGTCCCCCACATTAGAAACAGGGTTTGACACAGCTAAATCTAAATAAATTGGTGAATTTTATAATTTAAAGGTTTGATAATCTGCAGTCCTGAAAGTTTTTAAATTTACTCTTGGATGTTCTTATTTGGTTTTGTATTATTCATATAGTAACAGCCATTGGCTACAATCATTAAAAATCTGACTGATGGTATTGTATTTTGCACCTATAATGGCACAAAAACAGTATTCTTAATTTGCTGTTAAATTTAGTTGACCAAAGATACTGCTCTTATGGGCTGAAGTACGAAAGTCTACTGCACTATATTCAGGATCGTACTCAAGATCAAATACATAGGTTTTTCAATATGAAGCCTGCATTTTATTTACAACATACTTGACTATTTTGCATTTGTCATAAAACTCAAAATATTTTTCTATTGCCGAATATTGCTATAGATGCATATTGGTCTGTTTGCTTTTATAGCATAACTTACTGAAAAATGCAACATTCTGAACAACCTATCATAGTCTAGTCCTAAGACTTAACAGTGAAATTTCATCCCAATGGACTGGATGCTGGTAAGGAAAGTTCATAAATAAAACAAAACATTCTACTGAAGTATTTCCCCCACTTCTTAGAAACTACATTTTACACTGCACAAGGAGAAGTAGGTTTGGAACTTAAATATAATACCTATACAACAACGAAACTGAACAATCTAAACAAAAATCTAAAAAGGATCTTAAGCTAATAGGCCAGTGCATTTAATTAATAGGCCTTTGCTTGAATTGTTGCTCTTTTAGTATGTTGCTGTTAAATACTACAGGGTTATCTGAAGAGATGTCTGACTTGTGACTTCCCTCTTTTCCCCGTGTGTCAAGTTGTAGATAAAATATAATGAATATGATTTCATCTTAAAACAGAATATTGAAAATATTCTCGTTTACATTTTCAGATTTGAAGAGTTCTGTCATAAATTTAGGTACATGCATGTTTATGTATAAAAGCTTATTTTCCCTTTCTCAGAAAATGAATACTATATAGATTTTGCATTGTTTATCACACTCCAGAAACAACACTATTTCACTCCAACACCCACAACCTAGATGAAGAAGGTGATGGTGGTGGTGGAGGAGGGATTTTTTAAAAAAAGAATTAGGCTATGGGAATTAATTCTAGTTCAGAGGAAAGGCACAGAAGGGTTCTGAACAAAGAATGTTAAGTTTAAATAAAGGGAGCAGATGGAAGACCTATGTCAGGTGATACAAGGGAAATATATATATATTATAAATCAGATTGTATCATTCCCTGTAAGAGTGAACTTAGGAGGTCAAATGCCTGTCAGAAAACAAAATGGGGTCATGCAAGAGTAAGCCAGCAATTTTTTATATATTAAAAAAACTCTGGCGTTGTAGAAGTATATAAACGTGTAAGTTAAAATTTAAAACAAACATTGTCTGATTAGGATCTACAAGCTTCCAGGGTGTACATAATGTTTATGTGTCAGTGAAGGAAAAACATGTAATCTGGAGGTGGAGGGAGGGAGACAAGAAACATGCATGTTCAAGCTCTTAAGAATTTATAGTAAAAATCTTGGAGGAGTGGATTAGGCTTAGTATGATGTGTGCTGGGAGGTTAAAAATCTCCCCTCCTTGAAACATACAGGAATTTTCTCTAGAACTCCACCCACTGCTATATAATGCTTAGGTCTGGAGCTTGCAGTGAAACCTGAAAACCTGATCCCTCCAATGCTATGGCACAATAGGGAAGACCTCAATATGGTGGAAAGGGGGGAAATGTACAGTATCCTATTCTCCTGTTTCCCTCCTGAAAATCTCCCTGCTCCCCCACAGCTAAGATTGAGACCACTGTTCCAGGCTGGCTGAGGAGGCGCACCAGGAATACACTGCAATATTTTGTTGCAGGTTCTCCTGGTTTTATTGTATCAGCAAAACTGTGACCATCATGGATTTCCATCTTGCATGCTAAAATCAACATTACTGTAGTTCAGAAGATTGGGAAGTACATACCAAGATGGTCAAGATGCATCTGGAAACCCCTTAACACCATTGTAAAGGTCTTCCTTTAAACTCCAAGGTATGCCTTACTGCCCACTAGGATTCCAGTACCACTGTTTGTACTGATCAGATTTCAGTTCGCTTTCTAATTCTTACCTGCAACCATCTGCATATTGATTGTCCACTGTTAATTGGAGCACTTCAGAAAAGTGGTTTGTGTTTGGCTCAGCCCCACAAGGTCTGATGTCATTCAGAATCAAAGACTGTGATCCGTATGAGAGAGAGGATTTCCTGATCGGCTGTGTGGTCCATTTTGTTTGCTATGTATTACTGTTTCCATGGACACAGGTTCTCTGCGTGTCTGAATCTACAATTGCTTCATGAGAGGAGAAGAGGCATAGCTCTCTAGAAGCATGCTCTGGTAATTTACGAACTCTTTGTAACAAGTATTTTCCCCTGTCTTCTAGTCTTCACTGTCTAAACTAGGATAGTGTACATGTTAGAAATCTATTCAACATTTCCTCTATTTTCCTATATGTCTGGTTTTTCCTAAATAAATCTTGCTCTCTTTTTTCTTTTTCATAAGCCATTATTTTCCCTCCAGTTTATTCAGGAGCATTGTCATGCAAGCTTTCTGTGATTTGGAAAACAAATTATTCTGATAATTTAGTGGAAGATTTGAAAAATATGGCCAAGGATGTAAGTATAATTCTACGCTTTAAAAAAATAATCACTTGGTTGTTTCTGGTTTCTAAACATACTTAAAAGGAAGCTGGCAGAGAGGAAACAGGGAGCACAGGTCTTATATACATGGATATTTGCTAGCTATTAGCATATTGTTCTACAAAGTGCTAGTTCTAGGCTTGGGAGGGCGATCCTTGGAACACCTTTCTGGGTAGGCCCACCTCCTCTTTGTTTCCAGCCCCACTGCCAATTGACATGCCCTCTCCCTCTAAACCTAATCCACACAACCACTCCAGAGGGAAAGCATAGGATAGGGGATGTTGCTGTTTCACCTCCTCACTCTTGTCTCTGCACGCTTGGAGAGGGCAGGTGAACAGGCAATGAAAACAAGCAAGAGGAACAGCAGCTCCCCAGGGCTCCAGGGATCTGTATTGGGCCCCTGCATGGGGTATGGGCCTTTGCAAGCCCCCCAAATCACATAGGTGCTGTCATCATTCAAATGTCAGGTGATTGACAGTCGGCAGGCCCTTGGTCCTGTAGAGGGATGGTAGTGGGGAAGATAAGAATCTGGACCACAAACCAGATCCACTTCTCTACCTCTGCTGTACATTCTACTAATATTATTTGCGGGTTGGCAGTTTATAAATATTCTTGCAAATACACAAATAAATATGGCCTAGAAACTCTATAACAAAGCAGTTGTTATGGGCAGATCCACACCATACATTATGGACAGATTCACACCATACATTTAAAGCACTGGACTCCTCACCAAAGAGTCCTGGGAACTGTAGTTACGCCCTGCCCACAGAGCTACAATCACTAGATACAAGTGGGAGATTTAGGAAGTAGTGCTTGTGGTTTCATTACTGCCTCCCTTAATTCTTCCCTCACTCCTGATTTATATGGCACTTTTTTGAATGTTCAAATAATTTTGCATGCATTAACTCTGTGTTCCTGCCAACAATTCTATAAGGTGGGTCAGCATTAATATCCCCATATTTAATTTTAGGGCAAAATTTGAATATCCATTATGCTACAGTAGCTCTTATCTGCTAATATCGCATCTGACACATGCTATCCCATGAAGCTACAATGGATGTTGCTTGGCCTGTTACCTGCTTATTTGGCAATAAAGAAGCTGTGACCATGCTCTTTCTGTGTTCCCTCTGACAGTTGTCACCATGTTAGCACACACAAAAACATTCTCAACGTTAGGAATGCTGTTACCTGCATTGTGTCTCGCTATATAGCCGAGGGCCCAGGACGCAGCTTCCTTTACTCCAGGGTCAAAATCCTCCAAGCAGATGACCAGCGTGTCTAGTGCTCCACAGTCAACTATCGCCTGGGCTAGCTGGGGAGAATGTTTTCCAACTGCTCGCAATACAAACGCGGCTGCTTTCTTGTAGAAACGCTGCAGAAGCATCAGGGAGAGGAGAATACACTGCAATTATCTGAGGGTTTTTCTAAGGTCTTGCAAGACAGAAAAACTTTGCACTAAACGATTTTAGACAAGTTGAGCAATTTGTTCCTATCACACCAGGGCATGAGGGGCTTTCTGGTGTATTTTTCACTGTGAGAATACGGTACAGTATATACAAAGGGAGTATATTTGGGAAAGGGTCATAGGTCAGGGGCAGAGTAGCTGCTTTGCACGCAGAAGGTCCCATTTCAATCTCCAGCTGGGCTGGGAGAAGCTCCAGTCCTGGAGGTGAGACAATACTGAATTTGAGGGAAGGCAGCTTCCTATGTAGGGAATTTTACAGCATGCTCTTTATTGCAAGATCTCTAGAGATACATTTGATATGCAGCAGATGACTAAACCGGTCTTTGAACATCCTAGCAGGTTAGGAAACTTTAAGCTAAAAGTGCAACCCTGCTTCCCCCAGCATGCTACATTGTGGTTTGCCCTGTAGAAGCCAAGCAGAACCTCCCTCTCCCCTCCCACAAGCCACAGTCATGTCCGTATACTTTATTACAGCCAAGCAATATTCCCCAAGCAGCAACCCATCTGTGCTTTGAAGGGACTATCCAACAGACTGTTCGTTCTCAGGACCCATCTCTAACTCGGAGTAAAAGTATGAACAAACTGCTGGTTTGAAGTAAAGCACTGGCGGTGTTTTTAAAGGAAAACAGATATTCAGGAGTCAGATACTCCAGTTCTTTCATGTGCTGGGAGAGTGAACACAAGCTCCTCCAGACCCCTCAACTGGACATCCCGTTTTGGGGGGCTGTGATCTTGCATAAGAGCATGGTGCCCAAAAATGAACATTTTGGGGGTGTCGTGCTCTCGAACAGGTCATGTGACTCACGCAGTGAGTGAGCCCCAGAAGATGGGCATTCCAGTTTCCCGCTGCAAAACATTGGAGGGTATGACTCCTCCCTTCCACCAGCTGTCTAAAATGATGGGTACTGTGGGGGAACCACAACGCCTCTAGAGGCGAGGGTCCATTTCTCTCGCACAAAATGGTTGGGGCCAGTTGTATTGTGCCTGAACCAGGGCAAAGTCACAGCTGACTTCCCCTGTCATCCTGCTATACAGTTGTACCTCAGCTCCCGAACACCTTGGGAGTCTAACGTTCTGGCTCCCGAACGATCAAAAACCAGAAGTGAGTGTTCCGGTTTTCGACCGTTCTTTTGGAAGCCAAATGTCCGGCGGGGCTTCCGTGGCCTCCTATTGGCTGCAGGAGCTTCCTGCAGCCAATCAGAAGCTGCACTTTGGTTTCCAAAAGTTTCGGAAGTCGAATGGACTTCTGGAACAGATTCTGTTCAACTTCCGAGGTACGACTGTACGTATTGGAAATCTGTGTGGTAAAAGGTGGACAAGCTCCACCATTTCAACACAGGCCTATGCAGAATAAACTTATGAACTCAAACAAAAAAGCAGCCCATCCCTGGCGGGGGAACCTGGCCAGCTTAGTCCACCAAGGCCTGGGGTAAGTGAACCCAGCTACATCCCCCTCTCTGCACAGGCCTGTTTCAACAGATGCATACACAAAGAGGTGAGAATGACTAAAAGGACTGAACCCACTTTACAGATTGTGAGGGCTGAAATAGGAAAGTGATAGGGTGTGATTTTGAGGTTGTGGTGCAACTAGGCCTCAGCAGGTCATCAGCACCCCTGAAATGATTTGCCTAGCTGCTGTCCATGCACACATATTGCAAAGAATTGTGCAAGGCTTGCATATGAGAAAGATACTATCTAAACAAGACTCCTACTTTTAAAAATAATGAGAAAATACCGTAAGAATGGTCAGGGTGAATAGACCTTGATCTTGAAACAGGAAAAAATAAACCCTGTCAGCAGTTGCTGCATGTCATACACCAATACTACAAAGACTGGCTATAAAATATTGCAAAATGTTGATGGTTGCTCAGAGGACAACAGTTTAAGAGTGCCAGCATTATTATTAGCAAGTACTTGTATGTGCATCAGAGCATGCATATTATTACTTTCAAATAATTATGTTTTAAGCAGGAGGCTGTGTTTCAAAGGCTTTTTAATATTGGTTGGTAAAATCTGCAGGGAGGCCTATCTATGCAATTCCCATTCATTTCACTGGTGCCTGCACAGCTAAACTCCCAAAGGACTGCATCCATTATTATTATTCAAAATGAACTACTTCTGAAATAATACACATTATAAAGCGTCACAGACCCAGGGGCTGATGTCACTGCACCAACATGCTTCACACACTCAGAGCCAGCTCAGGGATAACTTTTAGCATTGGAGAAAAAATAAGACTAACCAAATTTCACATCAGTGCTGAGACTTTAATAGCTGCCACTCTGCTGCCACATTTTATGCCAAACCATGAAGAAATGCCCAAGTAGCTGGTAGTGATGTAAAGTCTGTGCACCCCTTTTTCAGTGTCTGTTTACCATAGAGAGATTTTCAATCTCACCAGCTATCTTCCTAAGGAACCATTTATCTGAGTAACAAGCAGAAGAAAAGATTCACTAGGGAGAATGTTTTTTATAGCTTAGGGCAAAACTGAGCATTTTTGGCAGGGAAAAGATTTTACAGAAAAACAGAAGACAACGTAAGATCAGACAATAAACACCAAAGCAGCACACAAATTTAGCTGAAACACTGCAGGGATGAGAGAAATACCATGTTCGGTACTTCATTCATTCTAGAGTATTCTTGGTTCCAAAAGGAAGTTATTAGTTCAATGATAGGAAAATAAGTATAGCCAGAAAGCACAGCTTATATAAGGAATTCTAGATTCCAAACAGGGTCCTTGTTTAAAGGAGAAGAGAGCAGGAACAAGCAGGATTCTATGCAAGCAGCAAAAGGGCGAGGATGAAGAAGAGTTTGGATTTGATATCCCGCATTTCACTCCCCTTCAGGAGTCTCAAAGCGGCTAACATTCTCCTTTCCCTTCCTCCCCCACAACAAACACTCTGTGAGGTGAGTGGGGCTGAGAGACTTCAAAGAAGTGTGACTGGCCCAAGGTCACCCAGCAGCTGCATGTGGAGGAGCGGGGAATCGAACCCGGTTCCCCAGATTACGAGACTACCGCTCTTAACCACTACACCACACTGGCTCTCAAGGATGAGAAAACCAAGGACTGTACAGGCAAGACGTAGCTGCCCTGTCTGATGCTTTGCTGGTGATTTTAAAAGACATGGCATCCAACACCAGGTTGGAACCTGGAAACCCTAAGACTACAACTTTTATCATCCCTGATTATTGGTCATGCCAACAGGGGCTAATGTGAGCTGAAGTACAAGATCTGGAGGGTACAAGGTTAGGAAAGATTGTAACAGGTCCTTAAAGTCCCTTTTCTGTCAATTTCATTGAGTTGGTCTTTAAAAAAAGAAATAGCCGGAGGATGCATGTACCCCAGCAATCTGGTGCAAGACCTACACCATGTCACAAATGCCATGCATGTTGTACACTATTTCAAGAAGATCAAAATGATTGAACTACTTGACTATATAATGCAACCTATTTATCAGCAAATATAAAAGTTTTAAAAAATATTTTGCTACTCAAACACAAATACATTTGATATTACACTGCTAAGGGTTTCTAGACTCTCATGTGTTGTGGTATCATTTATGCTACAAAATTTAATCTTACGTGCATTTTACTCAGTCACTGTTAACAAATAGCTAATTACTGGGTGTGTGTTTTCCAATTATTTCATTTACAAAACAACCTTCTCCATGCCATCATTTCATTAAACAGTTCAGGAAATAAAATTACCAGTAATATACTTCAGCTAATGAAGTAAGAATAAAATCTTTTCCTTTTCCTTTTTTTTAAAAGGGTCATTAAATTACAATTATGGACACCTTCTATCAAGAGGGATCAATGCACTAAGCATGTATGTTGTGGCAATGACAAAACATGAATCTACAGAGTCTAATTAAGACAGAATAGTTTTCCATTAAAAAACATAATGTATACAATCTATAAAATATACATAAAACAGGCACATATATTAAACATAAATATAAGGCAGAAGATTTTAACCCCATATGGCAGTGAGAAAAGGCTCCTTTAAGAAAATAATAGTTCCTTACATTCTGCTCAGCCAATGAATACACGAGCTGCGGAAGAATATCTCCCTTAACTACAGCTTCTGCCAGGTCATCATTATAATTGGCAAGTCTCCCAAGGGCCAAAGCAGCTGTCTGTTGAATATTTGGAACCACGTCCAATAGGAGGGGCCTCAGCAGAGCCATTACACCTGAGTTATGAGAAAGGAGGGAAAGTCCACACAGTAATTAGAGAAACGAATCAAACGCTACTTTCAAAAGAGAAAAATAAAATAAAATAAAACACACTGAATGCTAACGTTAAGGAAATCTGCTGCAAGTAAACCTAAGCTCTGTGTTAAGAACCATTCCTGGAGTACACATTTTACCCATCCAAAGTGGGCGACACCATTAGGAATCGGGGAGAAATTCAATTCACATTTAAAGGCCAACATACCTAATTTGCCCTTCTTGAAGCAATATGAGAACCAAAACAATATGAGAATCATCCTTTGAAATCCATATTTCCTCAGAATTTGTGATGCATGTCCCCAAACAATGTTTACAAGGATGCATATATTAGGGGAAAGTGTGTGTTAGCATGAATATAATGGTGAAGAAAAAAACAAAAATGCAAAGACACCGTAATTACAACCTATGATACAGTTTTATACTGCTAAATTATTAAACTAATTTTCTGAGATATTAATACTCTACTAATGTGGCTTGTTGATATTGCACAAATGCAGCTGGTGAAGCAAAAGAGACCATCTGATGATGTTCTTGCAGGCTTCCCATAGGCATCCGATTGACCACTGTGTAGTGTAGTGGTTAGAATGTTGTAATAAGACCAGAGACCAGGATTCACATCCTCACTCAGTCATGAAGCTTACCAGGTGACTTTGAGCCAGTCACACAATTGTTATGAGGGAAAAAACAGGGAAGGGGAATAATATGTGCCACCCTGAGCTCCCTGGAGGAGGTGTGGGGTATAAATTGAATAATAAACAAACAAACAAACTCAACCTTTACCACATTCTTCAAATCCAGCAAAACTTCCAACCGCTTAAGTCAGCTTTTTAGTCAATATGAAGAACATTTCTTCAGCACAAATACACAACAGTCGGTTTGTAGTTTTTCACTGGCCAGTGATTCATTTCTAGAAAAAGAGATGCGCCAGATCTAATCTCTTCCTGTAAAGTCACATTCTGGGACACAGAGACCCGTCACCTAATCTCAGATATGGTTTCGACTACTCATAGTGAAAGGAGGGCGCCCAAGGGGAAGTTTCCTCCAAAGCAAATGCCACCTTCAGTGTTGGAACTACTGCAATCCCAATAATGGGGCCGTCTCCTCCCGTCGTTGACGCCATTTGCCTTAGGAAAAGAGCTGAAGAAATCCACACATCACCTCACGAAAACCAGTTTCCACTGGGTACACCACAGTGGTCTGAAATTTGCCTGTGCCTGCTTCCTGCCCATGGCCATCTGGTGGTGTGCAGCTGCTGACATGCAAAACTCAACTCTTTGGCACACAGCTGCAAATTTCTTGGTGCACCCAAGAAAGGTCATCACTTCCCATGGCTCCTGCTGAACACAACCAGCTGGCTCTGGAGAGGGAGCTGCCATGTAGGAATTCCAAACAGCTTTGTGCAATATCAGCTTGAGTGGGTAGACTTCTATCCTCTGAGAAAGTCCTTGTCTGAATCTGTTGTTGAATGACAACCTCTATTGTCAATCAGCAAGATGCTCACCCTCCCCCAAACACACTGTATCTGAATGACAGGTGTAAAATTTAAAATGTTCGGAAGCAGAGAGAACTAGCTTAAAATCATTGGGGGCGGGGAAAGAAGAGGATTAGAAAAATGGAGATCTCAAAATGGAGATCTGCATTATCTCAAGAGGATTACAACTGGTTCTTGTATGAGAAGAGGAAGCTATTTGCTTTTCCTCTGTGGTCACTGCCCATGCTGTACCAGAAACACTGGAACAGAAATGTTTGCATGTGGGAAGAGTTGGCACCATGGTGACTTTCCATGCCAATACTACATTTTAGTCTGGGAATAAGGAGCAATGTCCCATGTGAATTTCACGTCCTAATGTCAGCAGAGCATTATGGGATGGAGTCAAAAGGAAGCAGTAACCACATTGCTCCCAGAATGAAAGTACTGCCCTTTCAAAACAATGTAATTTAATCAGCAATTTTGGTCTTTTTGACCTCCGCCTTCTTGTTTTGCTCTAGTCTTTTGTAAAGTAAGCCTGTACTTACTCAAATAAATTATCTGTTTTAAGCATTCCCATCCCACCCACCCAAAAAAACATTCCCAGGACAATACATAATAAAATATGCAAAATAATGTAAAATACAGCAACAAAATTCAGTAAAATGTTAAGAAAATAATAAAGCACAGGTGTTCTAAAGACACATGTACTCAATATGCATAAGACTGCACCGTTGTACATTGTGGTAATTAATCTGGAATAAGTATGACATTCCATTTGTATTCACATGCAAATCTAAATTCCCATCTTGCCCACCCACAAACAAAAGGGTGAGAAAATTTGTCCTTTAGCGATTTTAAAAGGCAGTTCATCTGTGTTAACAGTCTTAAATATGAGCCCACCAATTTACCTTAGCTATCTTGCAGCCACTACCCTAAAATAACCTAGTTTACCCAACCACTATGGGCCATGAGCTGCTTGGCAGTTTATGATAAATTACAGGAAACCAATGTAAAATGACTTTGTTCACAGAAAACATGTCAATGGGCTTAGGTAGGGAGCACTAAGCCATAAACAAAGGTTGTCACTGTGAACAATCTGGAGATGTTCCAAGGACATGTGAGACCTGTTGTAACATCATGATTATTTTTTTAATGTTAAGCTTCTAGATCTCAGCATTACACTGAATATTTTGAAAACAAAATTTAAAATTTAAAATAACTAATATCTTAAAATTTAATGAGCATTTTTTAAAAAATGCAACTCCCTTCATTATCTCAGAAAGGATCTGCAGTTGGTGTCTGTGGTGTGCAAATATGTTTAATTCAAACTGATAAATGAATTAATTAGTCAAAGGGCATATGATCAATAAAAATAATTTAATTGGTTGTGCAGACCTAGTTAATTTAGGAAACCTAAAAATAGAATAGTACTCACCTCATCTCACTGTGGTGATAACAGTGTTCCAAATATCTAAATGATTTTTAAAAGGTGGTCTAATTCTGTATAGAAACATATGCTAATATGTTTCAATTACATCAAAGAGGAAATGCAAATACCCATTAAAAAAATTCCATTGTGCGGTCCAAAACTTAAGTATGTGTCATATCAGCCCATCAGAATGTCCTGAAGGAATAACACCACATTGTGCTACGTATATGAGAAACAACTTAACTGGGGAACAACCTCTATAATCTATTCCCTTCGGATAGCAATTATAAGCAACCCTCAGCGACTCTTGTTTATTTATATACTTAATTACAGTAGCCCTCACAGCACTTGTGCTGCGTCAAAGCTAGACAATGGCACAGTCCCTGTGTAAAAGATTTAGTGTATGCCTACTGCGCGATGCAAGGTTTTTTGAAGCAGTATGTTCCATAGATAAGTGAAACTATCCAGAGAGAATACCAAAATTACTCAGTGGTAGTGTTCAGCCACAGCTTCTGACATGTACTTCTGATTTTCTTTTTCTTTTTTCCTTTTTTAAAAAACCCTACTGAGCAGAAGAAAATAAGTCACTTGAATGAAAAGAACAAATATGAACTAAAGCTTGAGTTTATGTGCATAATCAAGTGCCATGATAGCAGTTTATGAAGTTATGAACAATATGGAGAGAGAAATCTTTCTCCCTCTGTCATAACTCAGGAACTCAGTCACCCAATGAAGTCAATTTACAGTAGATTCAGGGCAGAAAAAAGAAAATGCTTCTTCACACTACACAGGGAATTCACACACATACACCAAAGATATGATGATGGCCGTTGGCTTAAATGACTTTTTAAAGGATTAAACAAAACTCCTGGCGGCTGAGCCTATCAACAGCTAGCTAAATGAAATCTCCATCTACAAAAGCAGAATATTTCTGAATACCACCACTAACAGGAAATGACAACCACCTTCATGTCCAATTTGTAAGCATTTGGCAGGCCACCAATGAAAGCAAAATACTGGGCATCTTCAGCAGACCTTAGTCTGATCCAGAAAGGCTTTTCAAAAATAATCACTTTTTTACTACTACTACTACTACTATTATTATTATTATTATTATTATTATTGCAGCTGCTATTGCTATTATTAAAATCACTTCCAAAATATAAAAATAAGACATGATAGAGGAAGGTAAGCAATATACATTTAAAGCAGCCTAGTTAAAAGGAAAACAAAATGCTATCTTAAAAAAGAAAATCTTTACAGATAGAAATCCAATTCAAAATGCAATAAGCTCCATAAAATAACATCATTAGTACCTAAACAAAAGAACGGAGAAAGAAGCTACATCCTCACACCCCTCTCCCCTGCAACACAGCAACCACTTCCAAAATGCATCCTTAGCAATCCTCCCTAGCCAAGCCTCACTCTCATGTGTTCTTATCATTTAGAACACACGTGAACAATGTTGTTGAATGAGCACACCTTTTCCCACAACAGAAAATATCTGCCATTTGTCCCAATGCAAAAAAAAAAAAAGCACTCCGAGAATACAATAGCAAAACCAAAACCTGCCCAGTACCCCTGAAACCTGATGGACCCCAAACTAAGAGCTGGGCTTGCTGGCATGTAAGAGAGAGAAGGTGGCATTGCCTCCTTGCAATTTTTTACCCCCTCCTCAGGGTCTGCAGGCCATCACTGATGTACAGGTGGAGATTGGGGCAAGAGGAGAAAGTTTTGGAAAATCTCAGCCCTGTCCAATGCTGTGGCTTAGGTAAGGCCTTAACTAATGGAGGGAAAGGCAAAGAGGAGAAATAGAAGAATGAGGTTTTCAGAAGGGGGCGGGAGGGATTTAGACCAACCAACCAGGAGGTAGGGAGAAATGTTTCCATGATGGAGGAGAAGAGAGCAACTGCAAAGTGTGGGAGTGTCTAAACCCCTTTGTAGGATAACAGGTCAGAGCTGTGGTCACCAGACACAACCTGACTTGTATGCCTTAAGGTAATCTGTTGTCTTCAGGTGTGGCACAGCAGGGGTGGGGAACCTTTTTGGCTCAGTGGGACAGACTGTTAACTGTGAGCCCCACCCCTGTGAGCCAACTTTGAGGGGTACAGTGGTACCTCAGGTTAAGTACTTAATTCGTTCTGGAGGTCCGTTCTTAACCTGAAACTGTTCTTAACCTGAAGCACCACTTTAGCTAATGGGGTCTGCCGCCGCACCACCACCGCGCAATTTCTGTTCTCATCCTGAAGCAAAGTTCTTAACCTGAGGTACTATTTCTGGGTTAGCAGAGTCTGTAACCTGAAGCGTCTATAACCTGAAGCGTCTGTAACCCGAGGTACCACTGTAGTTGATTCATGAAGTCAGCTGAATGACAGGTGAGTTGTCCCTCCCAACTGTCAAAATCCCTGTGCAGTCCTGGAAATGTAAGGAAACTGAAGGTACATTCTTTCACCTATGGTGGACGTGCCCAAGGATTAAGGCTTTCTGGGAGATGATTTATAATGAATTAAAAAAGGTATTTAAATATACCTTCTTGAAGAAACCAGAGGCCTTTCTCCTGGGCATAGTCGGCCAATCGGTGTTAAAGAAGGACAGAACGTTCTTTATGTATGCTACAACAGCAGCAAGAATACTTATTGCAAAGTATTGGAAGACACAAGACCTACCCACTCTGGAAGAATGGCAGATGAAAATGATGGACTACATGGAATTGGCGGAAATGACTGGCAGAATCCGAGACCAGGGAGAAGAGTCGGTGGAAGAAGATTGGAAGAAATTTAAAGACTATTTACAGAAATACTGCAAAATTAATGAATGTTAGAATGATGTTGGATTGAAGTTAAGTGGTTTCTAGCTGTAATGGTCTAAAAGAATATGAAAAAATTGGATTCTTAACAGGTAAAAATTTAATGCTATAATATATTAAGATTAAAGATCAGGATAAAATAAGGAGGGAAAGGAATTGCTGAACTAATAAATTGACCTGGAATACAAAAAAGGGAGGTATGAGGAGGTCCGGGAAACAAGTAAATGAAAGATAAGTGATGAAAAGATGGAATTGTTTTTAACTATTTTTTATCTTGTATTTTTTCTTTTTTCTTTTGTGATGTTGTGAAAACTTTAATAAATATTTATTTAAAAAAAACAAAATCCCTGTGCAGTCCTTTCCCTCAGGCTGCAAAATGTCTTAGGACAGTCCTGGGGAGACAAAACTCTCCATCCATAGGAAGCTGCCTTATACAGCGGAATCTTGGTTCTCGAACGCCTTGGTACTTGAACATTTCGGCTCCCAAACACCAAAAACCTGGAAGTACGTGTTCCAGTTTTCGAACGTTTTTTGGAAGCCAAACGTCCGATGCGGCTGTCGTCTATTGTTTCCAGGGCACCTGAACCAATCAGAAGCCGCGCCTTGGTTTTTGAACGTTTCGGAAGTCGGAACGGACTTCCAGAATGGATTACGTTCGAGAACCAAGGTACCACTGTACTGTATCAGACCACTGGTCCATCTTGCTCAGTATTATCTACACTGACTGTCACCTTCTGCATGCAAAGCGGAAGGGTGTTCTATATTCTGAGAGTAATCTTATATTCTCATGAGGATAAAATCCCAGCGGCACTTGTGGACTCTAAGAAACAGGGGGCTCTAAAACTCCCCTACGGTTGATTGGGGGAAGAGAGTACAGAGATAGTTTCAGAGAGATTAAATGCAAGCAAGGATACACCGCTGGAAATGTGCCTGCAATCAGTGCTGACTGGCTCAGAAGAGATACTTCACCACCCCCATTTTAAAAGGCCTGGCCACCAGCTGCCTATAATGATGCATATTGAGACCAAACCTCCAGATCTGAAACTGCCAAAAGGATATAGATATGCTTAAAAGGCAATGCCTGAAAGAAAATATTAAACGCAGAAACAGACCCGGAACATAAATCACAGCAGGGCAGAAATAAAAAGTTGATGGGCAAATTGCTTGCCAATATTTTAGCAGCATTTTCATCAGAAGAAGTGCTTCTCCCCACCCCCATGCCACCTCCATATGTCGGGACCTGAGCATCCAACATCTGCAGCCTTTCATCAGGCTGAAGAGTAGCACTCCCAAGAGAACACAAGGAAAAGTCTACATAGGAGGATATGGTGGCAAAAGGGCTTCTAAACTAAAGGCATCACATTCTCCCACATACGACAGCATGCTATCCCCAAGAGGAGCTCTTCCCTTGAAGGCTGCATGTTGCCAGCTGTGAGACATTCAACAAGGATGCCTGCTTTTACTGCTGCAATGGGATGGGAAATGACTTGCTGACTTTTCACCACTACAAAGCAAAGGAACTAGACTACCTTTCATTCAGGTATTGACAGCGCTACGCAAATGGAATGGTCCAAATTGATCCCCCAAACCCTTTTTATCGGTATTAAAATTACAGGGGGACAGTAATTTTGTGGTGCCCTCCCAGCTACCATTATTAGAAGGTGGGGTATGATTTAGCTAATATTGAGAGGAGGGACAGGGGATGGAATATGGATTTCCCTAAAGTGCCTCCTCCTTTCCTCCTAGAATTCAAGCACTGACTTTTATACACTGTGGTTCTGCCGCAAATGACAGTGTGCTAGGGATTAAGCCACAGCTAAGGATCTTCCCCTGGAAACTTAGCAAAGACCAAACCTGAACACTGGGCGGGGGGGTGGCGGTGAGACTTAAATTAACATTGGGGTTATTTAAATTCCCATGTTGTATTGTGGCATGTTGACTTATATTTTATTTACAGATTTGAATCTTCGTTTTAGTATAGCTGCCTGCCCAAACCTCTAGGGATAGGTGGGCAAGTAGTCTAGATCAGTAGATTGATAGAGGAATATAAAGATAATCAGTCTTCCCCCTTCCTCTTCCTCTTCCTTCTATAACATAGAACCCAAACCACATAGAGAGGATCTCTGCATATGTTTGCATTCACTGTAAAAGTGCAGAGACCTGTCTGTGAAAGGCAACTGGAGGCAACTTGGGCTATTCTATTTTTAAACTCAGTTAGTACCATATATCTGTTATCACAACTGCCGACTGTTACTGAAGGAGCAGAACAAATCCACAGCAGGATCCAAGATTAGTATCCCAAGAAACATAGCAGAGAATCCAGTCGCCTGTGCAGTGCAGCTTTGAAACTGATGGGCAGTAAATTTTACTCAGAGTAGACCCACTGAAATTAATGGACCTAACATAGTCACATTTATTAATTTCAGCAGGACTACTTGGAGTAAAACTTAGTTGAATACCGCCTATATTTATTTATTGCGTTTACTTTTTTTATTATTACTTCTCCAAGGAGCTCAAGGTGGCCTACATGGTTTTCCCCCTCCTCAATTACGGTAATCCCCACAACAAGACTATGAGGCTGGTTAGGCTGCAACACTGACTGGCCCAAGGTCATCCAGTGAGCTTTGTGGCTAAGGGAAGATTTGAACCCTGGTTTCCCAGGTCCTACACTCTGACCTCTACACCGCACTTGGCTCTCAGTATTGTTACACCGCCTTTCTGAAAATTACCATGGTGGCGTAGGCAGATCAAGGTCAATAAAAGCATTACAGTGAACAACAACGTCACAGAAAAATTAAAAGGTCAAATTTAAAATATGTGCCTATATCTTTTCTAAAAACAGTTGCACTCTGAATAAATATGCTGGTCTCTTCCTCACTGGGGATAGTCATGTTCCAGCCCCTACACCAAATGATTGGTTGTACTCTTATGCTGGAATTCCTTTATTGATAATAAGCACATCAGAACACCATTTTATATCCTACTTCCAATTTCAGAGAGCGTCTGCACTTTTGAAACCGAAACAACAGTGACAAGCCCAAGAGAGGGAAGAACCAGCAGACTCAGGAAAACCCCAAGGTTTTCAGAAGCACCAAAAAAAAAAAAAAAGTATGGGGGGAAAACCTAAGGGAGGGGAATCCCGAAACAACCCAGTGAGGGACTATACACACTCAGTGGGGACAAAATGTGTACTGATTGCTGGGGAGGAAACAGAAACCAAATGCTAAGAAAGAAGAGCTAAAAAGGGAGGAAGAGACAAACAGATATAAAAAAGCTTAGACAGACCAATCTCATTGTCTGGATATGTCATTTTCTGGCTCACGCTGAGAAGCTATTTTTACATGTCCTCAGGGATGGAAATGAGAGCTGCCTATGGTAATTGATGGAGAAATTCAATATTTTAATATAGCTACGATTGGGCACCAGTGTGTCCACGCCACACACACAGCAGCAGCAAAGAAAAGACTTCCCACTCTTTCTAACTCAGTTCTTATTTAGTACAGAATATTAAAAGAACAACCCTACAAATGCCAAGCAAATGCAATTAATAGTCCATTTTCCAAAATGGCTTATGACAGACATGTGTAGTTCACACTGCATACTAGGCTCTGACTGGTTCACAAGAACCCTGCAGTGTTGTCCAGTGATTTAGATACCCTACGGCTCATGGGGAGTTGAACTGAAGCTGAGAGAGTGTAACAACCCTTTATTTTGTTCCCCGCATTGCAGGCTGGGCAGTAGTAAACAACAACTCTCCAGTATAACTCACTGCTTTACTCCTATCACTTTCAGTGCAGGGCTGCACTGAAAGTAGCTTACAGCAGCCCAGCAATGTCACTGTGAACACTGCAAGGCAGAAATGAGGCTAAGGCTGGCTTGCACTTCCCATCAAGAGTCTCACATATCTCTCAGGTTGCAGCAAAGGTCATTCTACTTACATTGCCCTCCCTCTAGGCCAAATCAAGCACTCAACTGCATGCCACAACCTTAAGCTGTACTGAATGGATGCAGACTGGTTACACTTTTAAAATGTTCAAAAACTTCTTTTTTTATTTGCAGATGGGGTAAGACCCAAGTTGGAGCACAGACTCTTTCTTGATATTAATTTTTGCTTGTTTTCAATCCCCTTAGCCACAGGATCAGGTCACACACACACCAGGGACACAATACAACATTTTGTTGTGTGGCCCTACTTGTTCCCTCTGATAATGAAATTCCAAGGGCTTCGTCAAAGCTGAGGCTGTTGAAGAGGTCAGAGACCATCTTGGCTGTGAGCCCTGGAAGATCTGCTCCCTGCTTTTCTGGCCTGACTGACTGACTCCAGCTACAAAAGCTGCTAGACTATTCTTGTGGTATTGTTTAGGCTGTTTTGTTGGGGGTTGTCGTTGTTAACTTATACATATTCATTTTTAGATATTATTAGGAGTTATGTGGAAATGATTTCAATTTGATTGTGTACTTTTTGATGTGGTTTCTTTTTTGTTTGTGGCTTTTGTTACGTTTGTAATTATGTAAATCTTGTCATCTTGTAAGCCATCTTGAGAATGGTTTTAACTATGGAAAGGCAGCATACAAATAAAATGATGAACATGGTGATGAAGTTTTATTCCTCCTGTAGCTAAAGCAACAAAATCCACACGTAAGAGGGATGTATCAGCAGACTTGGGGAAACATCTAGGGTTTGTAGAATGAAGAAGAAGAAGAAGAAGAAGAAGAAGAAGAAGAAGAAGAAGCCGCCCCAAAAATCGGTTCAATCAGGACTGAACATGTTCAGTGCCCAGTGGGGAACAGAAAACTGGGTGAAGAGGGGAATGGAATGCTTGTTGAGGAGAGCATGGCTGGCAGGCTGAAAAGCTGAAGAGGAGCATGGCACTCTGTCTTGTTAATGTTAAACCGAATTCTACTGAAAAACCAGTATATTAGATTAGAACTGGGTCTTATGCAACCACGCACTTCAGGTGTGGATCAGTAAGACAGCACAGATTTCTTCTGTTGTGGGGTAAGCTCTGATTACAAATTAATCATGGATGACCCCCATGCTGTGCTCAGGCTCCCCTCCCTCTCCCAATGCCTGGTATGCTTATCTGATTTAATGCTTACCTGGCACTTTGATATAGCCACTTTAGGGTGTGTGTTTTAGCTTATATACTGCTCCAGGCGACAGAACAGGAAATGACTTCATGACAGTCAGAAGGCCAGCCAATCTGCACAACCAGCAGAATCAGGGGCGTGCCTTCCACTAGGCTAGGCGAGGAGGCAACCATAGGTAGAAGCAGCAAGGCGTTGGCAGTTGTTTTATGTGCCACGTGGCCTACCCTGCACCCGCTGCTGCCCTCAGGTGCAACTGAAGACACCCTCCCATCACTAGCATTTCATTAAGATTCAATTGCCAATTTGCCTGCCTTCTGTATATGGAGTTGTGGGTGGAAATGAGGGTGAAGGTGCATCTCCCCTGCCTCAGGCAGCAAAATATATTGGGCCAACCCTGGGAAGAGGGAGTTGCTCCGGAGCTCAATTCTCTTATGCTGGTTGTATGTATGAAGGGAAAGCTCTTAGTGATAGATAAGCTGATAGCAGAAGGAGATAATCACAATTCTTTTCCCTTTCAGTGCCATATAAATAGCTTCATTCCAGCCTTGGTTTTTATTTAGAGGCAGCATAACAGATTTCTCTGTTGTAGGCTAGACAAGTGTTTCTCAGACTGAATTTCATATTCCTTTATGGAAATAATTAACTACGCTCATTTTCTGCCGTAAGAGTTTCTAGTCAAAATATGACCACTGTACCAATTCATTACAGTCAGAAGATTTGGACAAGAAAATCCTACTTTTAACAACAACAAATATTTAGTCAAGAATAATCACAGTGGAAAAATATGTTCTTATGCTTGTCATTTCTTTGAGGTTAATTTAGTGATGAAGAAAGAGACTAACAAGCACTGGAAAGAGCTATGCATGGGAGTGTGATGAGTGTTAAGCACCCAAAACCAGCGGGGGCGGGGGGAGAATCTGTATTCCTTGAACACACTGGTAGAAATACTGACATAGTTCACCATTCCATGCATGGGCCTTATATTCTGAGAAAGACTGAAAAAATGACACTAAAATGTGCTGCTTCACCTGATTACTACATTCGTACCTCAGAAGTCAAACGGAATCTGTTCTGAAAGTCCGTTCGACTTCCAAAACGTTCGGAAACCAAGGAACTGCTTCCGATTGGCCGCAGGAAGCTCCTGCAGCCAATCAGAAGCTGCGGAACCCACATCAGACGTTCGGGTTCCAAAGAACGTTCGCAAACCAGAACACTCACTTCCAGGTTTGCGGCATTCGGGAGACAAAAGGCTTGACTCACAAGGCATTCGACTTCCAAGGTGCAACTGTACTGAGTAAAAACTGGATTTCCCAGTTTGGTTAGTTGCAGTTTGTCAAACGTCCTTACTTAAAGGGGTTGTCCTTGTCTTGAAAGGATATACTGTATCTCCTTCTACACTACATATTTGTAAATCAGACCTGCACAATTTGTGGCATATGGAAAACTTCACTAGCTACGTAGTGTAGTGATAATCCCCTCTGCTTTTGAAGATTAAGACTACAGCAACAAAAAGGTTTACTGAGCTCCAGGTAGACCACTGTGTCAGGGCATGTGAGCTGCATTCAGCATGGTGGGTGGTAAATGCGCAGGCTGAGTCATCAAAATTCTTTGCATTGTTTCAACATACAGGTCCCTTCCAACATGAGGAGATGCCAACATACTCAGAGGTGCTGCAAGAAGTATGAGAAATATAACTGAAAAAGTGAAAAGGATACTTTTTAACGATGAACATATGATTTAAGATACATCACCAGTTTTTGAACTATACATTTTTCATCAGCCATAGCAACCATATTGTTAAACACAATATTTATTTATATCCCTCTTTTTCCTTCAGCATTTAAGAACCAGCTTGTATTTTCATACCTCACTGGCTGCAATTCTTAAAAGAGTTTCCTCTCTTGCAATCGTTATTTAAAACACACTTACAGATTAATTTTTTTTAAAAAATTGAAAAATCTCACACAAGTGAGATAGCCTGAGATGTACAAGTATGGGGCTTAAATATAAATATTACCGTAATTATTTCTCATTAACAATTAAAACTTGTAATCTGAAATTAGAAGGATTTCAGTGATGGTGAGCGCTATTTTCAGGGCTGGAACAAGGGTTCTTTTTAGAGAAACAGTTTTTTCAAGTTTAAAAAAATTTCATTGTATTTCTACACTGGATATTGCACCCTTAAACCATGATTTGCTGTTATTGAAGCAAACACCTTCATTATGTTTTTTTTATTTAAAAAAACTCCTCAATGAAGGTTACATACATTACAGCCTTGTTCTGATACCTCTTATCCACAAGAGTATAATGCACAAAATTACAGCATTTTAAGATAGGTTCTTACACTAAGTTATAAAGGCGACAGCTCTTTTTTTGGTGTGTGTCACCTTCAAAGCCCATCTTAAGAACATACCTTAACATGCTATAATTTTAACACAAAGCCCATTGATATGAAAATGTGTTTCTTTCTTCTTCCTTTTCCCAGGGCACTTCGTGATAAAAGCTCAATTTGAAAAGATATATCTTACAAAATTGAAGAGACATATTACCAGCTTAAGATTTTTTGTAAGCTTACTGATGCTGGGGAAAAAGAACTAGGTTAGGAATTTACTAACAACAGTGTAAATGTTGATAGTAGGAGAAGAGGAGAAGGATTGGTTGGGGAAATCCTGAAAGGTTGCAAAAATGCATAAACTCACAAAATTTGCATGGTTGACTTATGGCAGACAACAGATGAAAGGATTTCAGGAATTAGTGGCTTCAACTGATTTAATTTATGAAAATCAGATATAAGTTGAATATTGACAAATATATAATGAACATGAATGGGTCCAAGAGCTCTTACATCACTCTTGTAAGACATCTTCTATATGCAGGGATTTTTATTATTATTTTGTATTGAGGAGTATTCAATCATGTCAGTACCTACTCCATCTGCAGTCTGACAAAGCACAGTCTAGTTACAGGTATAAATATCAGCTGCTGTTTGTGAGCACTATGCCATGAATAGTCAATATGGAAGAAATCAAGCACGTGGGATTTCACACACACACAAGGCCGCAAGTACAAATCATGTCACTATTTATAAACTACAGATCGGCTAAATTAGAAGAATGTGCATTTTTATATTTGGTGAAGTTCTTAGGATTGTTTTAGCATCACCATCGTATGAATGTGGTTGTTTGTTTTTTTTCAGAAGTAGCCCGGCCCCCACTATGTTCTGGGACATGGGACTGTAGCCTAGCAAAACAATCCTATGCATATTTACTTGGAAGTAAGTCCTATTACATTCCATGGTGCTTTGTCTCTAGTAACTGTGATTAGACTTGCAGTCTAAAACTAAAAATATTAAAATTTAAATAGATCACTCTCCAAGTAAGTAACATTTCTGTAATCTGGCCTGGGAGGGAGGGCAGTAAGTGACTCCTGCTACGAAAGCTGAGGCTGCTGAACACACTCTTGGGCTGGGGTATTGTTTAGGAGGTATGAGGAAGCCGTTGCTGCTATTGATATTTTTAAAACTGCATCCTTATTTTAGATTTTTTATTATTTATGTTGAAATTGTGCAATTTGATTGTGAATTTTTTTAATGTTTTACTTATTGTTTATGGCTACTTTTGTTTTACTGTAATTATGCATGCTTTTTTATGTTTCACCTAGAGCATGATTTGAACTATGGAAAGACAACATACAAATAACATTATATATGTGTGTATGTATGTAAACTTTGGCCACCAAGTTTTGGACTATATATATGTTTTAAAGATAATAAAATTAAATTAAAAACCAACATAAAACTTCTTTTTGTGTCATAGTGATGTCGTCTTCTCTGGATATAAGATTTGCTTGTCTGGGAAAAATCGTATTTTAGAAAAGCAGCATTGTGAATTCTGAAAACAGTTTATTTACTCTGTTGTTTCAAGTAGCACCCTGAGAAGGCAATTGTTAAGTACTGTACAATTAATACCTGTTTTATATCCTCCTCTTCTAACAGCAATGCCTAGAATAGAAAGACTTGGCACTGAGTGGTGAATTGCAGTCCCCACCCCTGCTCTGTCTTTCATTACTTGAAATAGCCTGCAAACAGCTTGTAAATAGTCACACATGTGGGGAGTTCCCTTGGTGCAATGTGTGGCTATATGAAGCTAATATTTCAGCTGACTTTAATGGATAGACATATGTCTTACCTGCTCATTTTATTGGACCATCTTTAAGCTATCTAATAAGGAAGGGGACTTCAAAGTATCAGACTGCTCTCAGTTCTATGGTAAGATAAACAAAAGGGTTTATGCATTTTTTTAATTCTGAAGAACTGCTTTTTGTTGTGTTTGTTTGTTTACCTGCATTCTGAAGAGTCTCGATATTTTGCGGCCTAGTAGCAAGTTCTGCAACAGTCTGAACAAACTGCGTTCGGGCTCTTTGATACTGCTCAAAGACTGCAAAGAAGGCAGAATAAGTGCATTTCAATGAGGGCAAGCCTTCACACATTAGATACAGGCCCAGATAAGCAGGAAATGTATTGTGACACCTTGTAGAGTCTATAGATCAAATAAAAGATGATGACACAAGCTGTCCTGAGCAAGAAGCAAAGGCTGTATTCCAAACCCTACTGGTAAACGGCATTTCCGTGTGCTGCTCTGGTTCCCCAGAAGCGGCTTAGTCATGCTGGCAACATAACCCGGAAAAAGCTGTCTGCGGACAAACGTCGGCTCCCTCGGCCACTAAAGCGAGATGAGCGCCGCAACCCCAGAGTCGTCCGCGATTGGACCTAATGGTCAGGGGTCCCTTTACCTTTACCTTTACTTACCTGTGAGTTAGCCCCACTGAATTCAACAAAACTTATTCTCATGCATAAAGTTTATTTCCATAAACTTTTATAGGTTGACTTTATGACTCAATGCGGCTTAGGAATTAATGGGGGAAGGGGGTTAGAAACCAAATTACAGCAGTACATAACAGAATAAAATATAAAAACAGACAATTCATGACAAGTAAACTCCAGTGAGTTCTGTAGCAAATACTCCTAGGAGGATTACTGTATTGTCCTGTGTACACATTACCAGAACTACTCAGAAAGTCTCATTTAATTCAATGAGGTTTACTCGCAGGTAAATGGAAGGTTCTGTTGCGTGGGCGCGCTCCCCCCCCCCCTTTCCTTTTCTTTTCAAGAAACTGTAAAGCCCAGAAACCCCCAGTACACAAAACCCAGCCATAGAAATACCGGTACCTTGCAAGACCTGCCTCTGACTCATGGCTCCTGCTGGTCACCCACTTCCGAGAGCCTCGGCAGCGTCCCCGTGGGGTGGTGTCTCGCCCCCTGGTTCCCCCTGCGGCCTTGAGGGGGTCTTGTTCCTCCGCTTCGCCTCTCCACTCAGAAACCCGAGCGGGTCCTGCAGCTCCACCTGCCCCTCGGGCTCCGCGCTTCCCCGTCTTCCCCCGGGGCCTTTTCAGTTTGGGCCGCGGTGTGTATCCTTCTCCTTGGCAACCGAACGGAAGCCGGCGCCATCAAGGGGCGGGAGGGAGGCCGCGGCCTGCGCCTCATTGTGACATCAGGCGGGCGCGGAGCGAGAGGGCCGGCCAGCCGGCGGCGCCTTGCGCTAGGCTCTCGCGCGGAAGGGCCGGCGCAACGCGATCCTAACGCAGCGTTCCTTGAGCCCCTTTTCTCCCCCTCCCTCTGCGCTTCTCCAGCTCGTTGGGAAAGGCCGCCAAGCGACGTCCTTGCCTCTTGGATCTGCAAAAAGAAAGTCTCTCCCTGCTGAGGTTGGCTGCGATCCTGGTTAGGCGTACTTTGCACTAAGTACACCTGATCGTTGCATCTGAAGCAAGTGCGAGTCAGCGATTGCCATTAAGGCCAATGGGAGGAACTTGAACATAGGAACGGGGGGGGGGGGAACCGTCTTATACCGAGTAAGACCATTTGGTCTATCTAGCTCAGCACTTGCCTACCTTGGCTGGCAGCGCCTCTCCAGACGAAGCTCCCTCTCCCAGAGATGCTGGGAATTGAACCGGGGACCTTCCTGCATAGAAAGCAGTTGCCCAGGCATCGCTCTGGGTGTGCGGGTGCCGCTTGAAAGGAGGCACTGGGTAGAGTTTGGTCATGAGATGGGTTACTTGTGATCTTATTATGGAAGACTGTAGTGATGTGCCTTTGCTGCGCTAATCCGGCTCGTCTGCGTTTGGAGACCTTGCTGCGCACTCTGCTCAGTGGTTCGCGCGCGAGTTTCTGCCCCCAGCTCCTTGCAACAAGATCCTCAGCCCCTCTTGGCTTCCTCCTCGGAAGTGTCTCAGTCCTCGTTTAAAAACAAAGCAGTGCCTTTAAAATGGCTTCTACTCGGAGCTGCCCTGGAAGGTAGGTCATTCTTCTAGATGGGTTTGAAATGAAAGACAGCGATTTTCCCTAGTGAGTGACCTGGCAACCGCTAAGCGGCTTTACAGCGCAATCCTAACCATGTCTCCTCCGAAGTCAGTCCTACTGGATTCAACAGGACTTACTTACTCCCCGGTAAGTAGAGTTAGGATTCCAGACTTGGTCCTGTTTAAGTTCAACTCTCTTTCCTTCCTAATACTGCGGTTCATTGTTGCGTGGATGCGATCCCCAGACCAGTTAAACCGAAGCATTTGGCTTTGATCGTGTCCTACGTGTGTCGAAGGGCTAGATGGACAAAGCTGCAATAAAGTAATAAAAATGAACATCGACTTTGTTTTACCCTTTCCCTTTTCTCTATTTCCCTTTTCTTCTCTCTCCCCTCACGCACAAAAAGCCGTCTCCACGTTTAGTAGTCACCTCTATGTATTCAGTGAATGAAACCAAGGTGCTCGCTATTTAACTATTTGTAACTTTTTAATGCGCTTCCTATAGCAGATATACAATACGGTGCTGGGCTTGAGCTAGATGCGAAATTTAAAGTAAACGCTCTTGTCGCGAATCGACAGGGCATTGGCCTCTCCCTGGGGACGCTAGTTTACCCCTAAAAGAGCTACAGTTCCCAGCACCCTTAACCAACTAGATTCCTGGATTTTTTTGACATTTTTGGGGGAGGGTGCTTTAAATTTATGTTGTGTGCACAGTGTCAGACTATCGAAGGGAAGATTCCCAACAACCCGAAACTCACTTTGCTGTGTTCCTCTCCTCTCCGTAGCCAAAAATCCTTAAAAAACCAACTTCTAATGAATGAGTTTCTGTTCCTTCCAAGGATTTAAGCTAATAACACGGTTGTCCTTCTGAGTTTAATTTTAATTTTCCATTTATGTTGTGGATACTCCCCCGCCCCCATATGTGACATGAAAGAAAGGAAAGCTCAGTAAAAGAGCTTCTGCGCCAAGTCTTGCAAACTCTCTTGCCATTGTCACGCGAGGGCCACTTCACACGTTGTGCAGGAAGGAAGCGTGTCCGACTAGAATCCCCCTTGCAGAGTTTTACATTCCCCGCCCCCCGCACACAGGAACGTGTCTTGATAGAAAGAACTACTCCGTGTGCATGACACCGGTGTCGCTGTTGAAAAAGTGGAGTCTGTAGTGCCAGCCTGCGCCCTTTGGCCGGCCAGGGCTGGAAGCAAGTTGACGACCGGCAGATCCCGACCAAAAGTGGCTGCTGCCTGGTCAAATCCTCTGAGCCAAAGTTTCTGACTCTAGCTGATCCTCTTCCAGCACTGGAATGAATGCCTTTGGGGTTCACATGCACCCCGCTCTCCGGATCTTGGGACTCTGAACCGTCCTTGAAAGCAGCGTGGCTTCTCTTCTCTCTTCGCCTCCGCTCAACTGGACTAGATAACGCTCAGGTCTTTCATATCCCTGTCCTGCTCCTCCCTCGTTAAAATATATGCTGATATACTTGCTCGAATGACACTGTTTGTTGCTTATGGGCTCCCAAGCTTCAGGGTGTGGAGCTGAGATCGTTTATAGCTGGCCACTTGCGGGCCCCCTCCCGCAAAAAAAACCCCCTCCATGGCAATGTATTACTGTTATTGTGTAAGCTTTGTATCACCGCGTAACCTTGTCAAATGCAGTACAATTTCTCGTACAGTATCTTCAACTCGCCCCTGGTAGCCTTTCCATGGTAGTGATTCTCCCTGAAATCAATAGGCAGCTGCATTGGACGGATTCAGAATCTGTTAGTTCAGCATTGTCGACACTGACTGGCAGCGGCTCTCCTGAGTTTCAAATAGGATTTTTTTTCCCCCAGCAGCACTTGGGAGATGCCAGCAATTGAACCTTGGACTTTCCCCTCCCCATCAGCGTATAGTCCGCCGCTGAGCCACTCTCTCATGTTTCAGAGCAGGAGGCCGAGAGGATGTCAATTAAGGTCAAGCAGGCCGTCCAAGTTGGACTTCTGAGCCAAAGTCTCGCACTGTCTGATTCCTCTCATTGGCTCGTAAATTCAGGAAAGAATCTGAGAGGCGGTGGGTGGAGTTTCCCCCCTTATGAAAGCATACAAAACATCCAGTTCGTATTTCACACGTAGGACAAAGTTCCTAGATTTAGCTGGAATCGAACCGTCACGTAGAACCTTCTTTCATTCCACTACCAATGATGAGGAAAGGGCACCTCTCCTCTTATTCCTACCTGAGCCTCGGGTGTCCCTGCCAAAGGCCACTGCGGCGCCTTTTGCCCTGCGCTAGTGTTATAAGCGTCACGTGGCAGGGCGAGACCTTATTAAAAGAAAAAGAGGAGGGTGTGCTTCCCTTAAGCCACCAAAGATCTGCCCTGTGCTAAGGAATGCGGGGGCTGCAGCGGCCACGTAGGATCGAGGTCTGTTTGCAGGGGAAGAGAACACCCCCTGTAGTCCGATGCCGGGTCCCGATTTAAAGGCTGCAATCTTATGCCCGCTGAGTAAGCCCCATTAGGTGCTTCTGAGTAAATGATGCCCAGGGTCTGCACTGCACCACAGTAAAGCATAGCGTGAGGAGAGAGAGAGATCCCCGCCCACTTAGCTATTCAAAGTGTGGATAGGCTGCTTTCAGATCCTGCAAATGGTTTTCCTGTCTGGGTGGGGTGGTTGGGGGTTGACCTCGGCGACAGCCCGATTCTGCATCGGCGACGGAGGCCGCGAGGCTCCGCCAAGCCCCGAGGGGGCGGCGTGATCTGAGCGGCCTGCTCTGGGCCAAGCCGCGCCCGGCTCAACCCGGCAGTGAAGGCCCTGCTCGGGGGCGCCTGCTCTGCTTCTTTCCCCGGAGAGCCAGGCTGGCGGGCCGATCCTGTCTCTAGCCTGCAGCCCCCAACTCCGATCTATCCTCGTGGAGCCCGACCCCGCTGCACGTTTCCTCGGAAGTAAGTCCCAGCTAACCCCGAGAGACTTACTCCCGGGTAAGCGAGCTTACGATTCCCGCTGCAGCGAGGAGGAGTTTTGCAGCAAACGCAAACCTCTTAACTTAAGAGACTCTGAACAGGGCAAGTCTAACCCTGTCTACTCGGAAGGGAGTTCTGTTGAATTCAGTGGTGGAAATAGTGGAAGTGGAAGGGTCCCGTTTGGCATTTTAAGGATCGCAGCCCCGCAGGATTCCTTCTCTCTGCTGGTCAAGAAATTCGGGGATGATCGCAGCTTCATAACAACATAAAAATCCCCTCCCCCCGGAAAAGTAAAACCCCTCTTGGAAGTTCAGAGTCTACAGCAAGGAGAATCCCGAGTTTCCTGCGGCGGGCAGTGCGCATGCGCAGGGCGGAAGGATGCCTTTCATATTTAATAAAATCGCTTTCGCTTCCCTGAGGACGTGACGCGTCACATACCCAGCTGGTCCCGAGCGCCTTGGCGAGCACGTCGTAGACGTCTCTATGCGGCTGCGTCGGATGGGGGACGAGTCCCTTGGCCAGAAGGGACTGCGACGTCAGTTGCGTTATTTTACGAGCAATCTCAGGAATAAGACTTCCACTTGCACAAACACACAAGTTGTAGTAAAAGTGGACTTTTTGCATTAAAAGGTAATGTTTCGGCATGCTGCTGACATTTAGGACAAAAGCAATGATACATTTAAAGATATATTTGCAACATATATTTAAAGCACATGGCTTCGCCCAACCCCCCAAAAAAGAATACTGGGAACTGCAGTTCACCTAGGGTGCTGGGAACTGTAGCTCTGATAATAGTAACGACAGTTCCCAGATGTTGGGGTGTGGGGAGTAATGTGTTTTAAATGCATGGTGTGCTCGCAAGTCTATCACCTATTTTATGGAATAAAAAATTTGCAACCTTGCTCCCAAATAATACCGGGGTCGCTTTTACAAGCGTGCACCTGTTATTTGTCAGCCTGATAGAGTTCGATGCCTTTATTCCCGAATAGCTCTTCTTAAAGTAGATGTCGAGGTAAATAGCTGGAAGGTTGCTGCAGCTAAGTCCACAAATCAGTTAAACGAATCAGTATCTGGATTAGACAGGTCCGACAGAGAACGTGGTCCGTGTTTCTGGGCTTGATTCTCAGCAATTCGTGGAACTCGTTTCCAAATTAATGTGGTGTCCCTCCACTAATTCAAGTTCTCCCGCTCAACTGCCTGGGAGAGCAGTTAATTTATTGGCCATGTTCTTAGGTTATCATTATTGTCCGTCATTTAACCTAGTACGAGTA